CTATTACTGAATTAACGGGGGAGTTTCACAGCATGTTGAACCACAATATAATCATACAAGTTGAGTTCACCCAACTTACAAAAGAAGGAAAAAAAAAAAGACAAACTGAAGATTAACCAAGTTGAGCATGTTGTGTGCAATCTCAACCACTGGATCAACTGATTCACATAAGTTTGTTATGTAAGCCCTGCCCTTGCTGTACATGCTACAACAGATGATTGAGGCAGTTCTTCTGAAATAACTACTGTATCAGCTAAGAGGCCATTTAAAAAAAAATTCTAGTTTTTTTTAATTAAAAAAATAAAATATTTTGACTTTTTATAGAAAACTTTTTTGCTAGTTGCAGTTTCATTACAACTTGTCTGATACTTTCCGGTATGCTAGTTGGTTTAAAAGTAAACATAAAGAACATACAATAGTTCAAATGTTTAAAGGTGTTTGAGAAGTGTTGAGTGTACCATGTTTCCAAAATGGCATCTTGAGCCACATTCCATCTGTCCTTGCAGATACAGCTTCAAGGACTTGGAAGGCTACCTCTTGGAAGACTTACTCCTGGGAGTAGGAGAGTGGGCATGAGTGTCATAATGAGTTAGAGTTTTGAGTCATCTAGTTAGTACTGAACTTTCCTCATTAGCAATTCTTAATATAGTAATAAAAAGAGTTCCTAGCATAATAATATGTTATCCTGCCTTCTTTGCTTTCATCTGCTTTTCTGATTTGCTTTGTGGTACAGAAAGCAACTGGAGAACGTTAAGAAAATGATGGCCTGAGAAGGAGACGGGACTGGGTCAAGGGGATAGGGTTAAAATCGGGAGCACCATACTCTTCTCCGTTAGTGTAAATAATAACCAAAGGCAATTGACTCACTGCCTACATTAACTAATAGAACCTTTCCAGAATTTTAAATGGGAATCTAAGGCCCAGGGCTGTCTGGAGTACTGTAAATGTTAACCTCGAGAACTTCCACATGGTAAGTGTGAAATCTCTAATACTGTGATGGAATGTGCACTGGAGAACCAGTGGAGGCGAGTCTTAGCAGCCCAGAACTTTCCCCAGAAAGGAGGCAGTACATTCCCTCAAAGAGAAGTCTGAATTAAGAGACTTCGTAGTTGAAATGGGCATGGGAAGCTGGAGGGGTTTGGGTTAACCACCTCCTAGAATATCAGGACATGTCTGATAGGTTAGAAGATTACAGCTTCTACAGTTTGGCAAGACTGTGTCCATTAGGATTGGATTTTGCTGTGCTGTTAGGCTTGGGCCTAACAAATATTGTTTCTTAGGCTTTATGGGAATTGCCCACAGAAGAAAAGACTATGTGAATGCTATCCCATGAAATGACTTTCCTCTTTCCCTTGACATATCTGAAACAAGAGGCCAGCATGACTACTGCGAAGAAGAGCCCATGTGTGGAATGACAGTTTGGGGCCCATTTAGAAACTAACCCCAGAACTAAACATTATTATGTGGGACAGGCTGTTCCTACATCACAATACTCAATTAATTAGTCCTATCTTTTCATCTTCCACAGGTTTCCCCTGGATTTGTAGTGACATCTTGAGGAAAAATAGGAACTCTTGCCAGATGAAGGTTAGAAAATGTGTATGAGGAAGATGATTCAGGACTCTGTGCTAACAGAGCAGTGTAACTTTCTTAGTCATCCAGAGACTACGAGAAATTAAAAATGCAGACTATTTGTTTCACTATAGTAAACCAGTTTTTAGATTACTGTATATTTAAATCTGACTTGGGTTATACTGAGAGCAAAATTATAAATTACTCTTTTATAATGGAATTTATATAGTGACTAAAAGATTCTCTTTTGCTTTTTCTGATGCTTTTCTGTTAGCTTTTTCTTTTTCGGCATAAAACCCTCACTCTATAACCTAAACTGTGTTCAGTCACAGTACATGATACATGGTTATAATCTTCTTGGAGAACGGGAAGATCTGCCTGGGCTAGGAAACAAGGGAATATCCTCCCAAGGTAAAGCCCGAAGTCCAGCGGTAAAACCAAGATAAGACACTGAAACATTGAAAACAATGTTTTGCTGACTTTCAAGCTCGTAGTTTAGAATATAGAGAATAAGGGGTGTGTGGGGAGGGCCTCTTAGTCGCGGCGTGTTCTGTGCAGGGGTATAAAATGTATTGTTTGAATATGGAAGCTTGCTCTTCTTGTACCCAATCCACTTGGGAAGGGACTTGAAGGCCCGTTTGCAAACACTTGTTTTCTTTAATAAACCTTTGAATTGTGAACCAGACTTGTTCCTGTGTTGTGAGTATTGAATAATTCGGTTCTTACATCTCACAATACTCATAACTGATTTATTAACCAGTTTTGTGTTGACCTGACAAATGAAGGATTCTGTTAGGCAACACTTTACCAGACCAAGTTACATAAAATAGTATGTGGTCCAATTCTATTCCTTGTTTGCCTGATTGGTCCCGGCACAGAACTTAATTTCAAAAGCCCTTCTTCCATATGAGCCAGCCAGGATAAGGTCACCGCGATTCCTCTCATAGGAAGAACCTCATGCAACACTGTTTAATTATTGAAATATATAACAAACAAATTGCCAACTGTTCTTTCTATCTATTCTGCAAAGGAGGGGCTAAAGAACCCCTTACTTATGCCTGTGGTCAAAGGCAAGGATCATTGTGTTCTTTCAACTTGATTTAAACCAGAACTTCTGAAAATTTCAGACTGGTGGATGAATGGGTGTGCCTAGGGAGCCTGAATTTGTCTACTCAGAATTATGGAAAAAGGATACCACGAGGACTGGGCCACACCTTGAATTGTATAACTACATTGTTCTCTTATTGAGATCCTTTTGTTTGTAAGACTTCAGTTTTTTAAGTTCAGGGGAAGGGTGAGGACTAAAACAATGCTGTGAGGAACAAGTAGGTTCAACAAGCTATGACATGGGGATTATTGGTTCTTTCACATTGGCAATAATTTGAAAACCTGGAGACCATTAGAAAGTGGGCAAAACCATGTTTAGTGATAGTAAGTTCATCTAAATGTAATGGGTGGTTATGAACAGATGGAGAACTATAGGCTGCCTTCATCCCCTGCACACATACCATTACCATTGCCACCACCCCTCATCCACACCCGCACACATAGCACCACCGCCAGCACCTTCTACTTATGGTGGCGAACAAGATTTTCAAGGATCAGTTGAAGTTTTTCATAACAGGTGAAAGACACCAATTTTGGTTCTGTTTGTAAGTCCAGCATTACTATGGACCATCCAAGTTCTGCCTCCACCTTTTCGGAAGGGTTTGTCCTGTGGGTGGAACCCAGCCTCCTCACTTCCACACTGCAGACATGAAAAGTTGTTTTACTTCCTTCCTCCCCATTAGACACTGAATTTGTGTATGCATTTTTTTTATATACTTAAAAGTATTATTTGTAGGGGTGGGATTCTACCAGTTCACACCTATTCTCTAGAACCGGTTGTTAACATTCTAAGCAGTTCGGAGAACCGGTTGTTAGGAGAAATTACTGGCCTAATCCTATAAGGAAGGCAGGAAGGAAACATTCTGGTGTTGCTTACAGAAACTGTCTCTCTGTTAACCCTTATTACATTCTTGGCAGGACTAGACTTCCTGTCTCAGGAACCTCTCTGGAGTTATTTTCTCTTCCTTTGCTGGTACTTTGCTTGTGTGGAGTGATCATTCAAAGTTACAATGGCACTGAAAAAAGTGACTTATGACCATTTTTCACACTTACGACTGTTGCAGCATCCCCACAGTCATGAGAGGCCAGGCGAGGAGATGCGTGCCTCGATATGAGTGATATTGAGTTGGCCACATCCAGCCAATAACATGACCACCAAGCCACGTCCACCCAGTCACATGACCACCAAGCCATGCCCACAGAACCGGTTGTTAAAAAAATTGAATCCCACCACTGATCATTTGTATTTATGGATTTAAAGTTAACTTAATACTATATAGCTCCTTGGTCAATTATTCGATGATACATTCTGAGTAAATGTTTTTTTTTTCTAAATGTGTACCTAAAGGGGAAATAATGCATATCAAGCCAAAAATAGTTTCGTGGCAATTCCACTCATCTCTTCTTCTTTTTATGACCCTTTAACACCTTTATTTGGAGTGGAGCCAGGACAACCGAATGGTGCTGAGTGTTTAATGGCTGGATGCCCTTCCTGATGTCTAAACTGGGGTTCACGTTCACAGCAGATATTTTTTCTTGGCGCCCCAGAAAAGAAACAATTGCTACCTAGAATTGAACTCTCAACCTTCCAAGTGGGAGGTGAGTGTCTTCACCTCTAGGCCACCACTCCACTCAGCAACTCCATATTTTTAGATAAATCCAAACACATGCAGAGTGGTCTCTATTGGCATTCATCCTTGTCTTTAATAGAACACCTAGCTCAAACTTTTTACTAAAATAAAAAGTATATACCTTTCTTGTGTAAGATTCCATTTTCTGCATTAATCACATCAAGCCATTGAAATTATTCTCTGCCTTTATTTTTACTGGTGAACTGCTTCCACACAAGGCATTTATTGCAGATTTCCCCCTTTTCACTCACCCTTTGGAAAGGAATTCAAACATTTGTAACTTTTTCATGTTTTCCCACTATTGTTTCCACCTTTTTTTCCTGGAAAAAGACTAGCACAATCTCAAAATGGGTATGTGTCGTTTTTTAAAAAGAGGCCTAGTTCCAGTTTGTGTAATAGGGTATTGGAAAAACGGTACCCTTTACACCTCAGTGTACTTTTAATATAAACTGTGTGGTAAGCATCCATTTGTAAACCTTAATTTTTTTTTTTTAAATTAGTGCCAAAATGCTTTTCTAATTATATATTTTAAAAATGTTAAAATACCACTATAATACTAATTTTAAAAAGAAAAACCTTTCCAAACTTTTTTGACATGTAAGAAGCACTTAGCACTAATAAAAAAATTCTTTTAATAAAAAAAGGGTTACTAGGATACCCTCCACCCCACGATTGCTTGGGTGAATGTAATTTTTTTTCTTTCCCTCTACAGCATTTATGCTGTAGCTTTGGATAGACATAGAAAATAGTGAGATGAGTTTACAGGAAGACTGCAATATCCCTAATAACGTGGAAAGTCATGTGTGGTTCCATTTATAGTTGCAGCAGAGGAACAGTGATCGATTTGTGATAAACCATCCATCTAGAAGAGGCTTGTTGTTTTACTGTTCCTGTGCAAAGAGGGAAAATGTGCATCGACTCCACATTTAAAATACATTGGACAGGGTGAGAAATGAACTTAGGGGAAATCAGAGGCATGGATTTACATACCCAAGGCAAGACAGGATAGTTGCATTTATGCAGTATGATGCCTGGGTTCAAATTCTCTTCTACTCAACTGTCCACATCTGATTTCCACTACCCTACCAAATCTAGGTTTGTTAACTCTTCTCTATCCCAATACACCAGAGGTTGTAGAACCTGTAGATTCTAGTGTTCAGAATGGCTTCCATCCTTTTCAGCAGGACCTGAAAGGTTGATTGCTATGGATACTATACAGGCTGGGCAGGGTAGAAAATGAGTGGCCTGCATCTTCGTTCCCTCTTGGGAAGGGAGACAGGTAGAAATATTCTCCTGGCTATGTAAGTGGCTTCATTAGTGAGTTTCTACCACCACAGGGATACAGTCAGCCACCAATCACCACAGCAAGGCTAACAAGTAAAGGGCTGGGATGAGCACAGAGGCCACTCCATTTCCTTCCTCCGCAATAAAACTGACACACACTTTTGCACATCCTGAGAAAGCCAGCTGCGAAAGAAAAAGCTGCATAAAAGTGGAAGCTCTCTGCCTGTTTTGACCAGGTGTTCTGCAGGGCCCTGGATGTACTTTGGCAAAAGAGCATTAAGGAAAGAGTCTTGTGTAAATGTAAATATTTTGAGGAGGCGCACGTTGTGTCGAAAGTATATACTTGATTCATGAAAGTGGGCAGGAAGGCAAATTGTCTCCTGAACAAGTTCTGAAGGGGTGGGGGGGGGGAAGGATTATTCTTTCAGAAAAGCATGTGCAAAATGCAAGGAGATTATGGCAAGATTGTGAAAGTTGGAAGATGAAAGATCTTCTAATGGGTGCCTAACACCAGCATTTCTCAACTTTGGCAACTTTAAGATGTATGGATTTCAACTCCCAGAATTCCCAGCCAGCTTACAGTTGGGTTGTTGTAAAATCCTAAGACCATAAAGTTGGAAGAGGCCACCGAAGCCCTTGAATCCAACCCTGCTCCATGCAGAAACACCAATTAAAGTTTCTCTATCTAACAGGTGTAGACTTACTGCATGCCCCTCCTTCCCCATTTCCTGCCTTGGGAAATCGAAACACCCATCACGATGGCAACAAACTATTCCACGACAGCATTGTGCATCAGTTACACAGGTGGCGGGCACAGTTTTCCCTTCCTGTTGTGCCTTCACACACAAACCTAATCTAGCAGGGCTGATCCATCTTTTTCTTTTTCCCAGTTCTGGTTACTCTGTAAAACAAAACACTGGGCCACTCCTCAGGGCTATGCGCCAGGGAACAGAAGCCATTTCTTAGGCCCATCTGAATCTTCCAAGGAACTTCCTTCTGACGAGGAGAGGTCCCGGCGTTTGCCTCTTCAAAGCCCTTCTCAGATTTCCCAGAGCACGACACCTCTTTGTGAACCCAACCCCAGAGTCTCAGGTCTTGTCACCCGGCACTGTTTCATCCCTTCTAAAACTGGCTTGCCCCGCTGTGAGGATTGTGGGAGAAGGGGAAGATCAGCAGCCAGCGCCGATGACTCTTTTTTCATCCGTGAGGTATATCAACCAGTCCCACCCTGGCCAGGAGGACCGGTACTTGGCCCGTTACGCCCCCCCTGCTGGAATGTTTTGTGGCTCCTCCGGCAGGGCAGGTAGCTAGGGCACGTGGCTGCTAGCGCCATGGTAGGAGCGCAATAAGACCTTGTGCTTGGTAGCCACTTCATTGCGCCGACGCTGGTGCTCCACCAAGAACTCTTTCAGGCGACTCGTGGTGAAAGTGAGGGTCTGACGCCGCAACTTCATGAGATAGGCATCCTGGAGCCATGGATTGGCAAAGCAATCCTTGAGAGTTGGACGGCTCCTGCAAGAGATAAGGTTATTAAAAGGAGCTTTCCGGAACCCTTGTTATATTCAGGATGGCAATAAAACCCCTGTCACGCAGGAGACTGGGGTTCGATTCCCCGATGGGGAGCATAATTTAATTAGAACGATTGCTGGAATACGACAGCAATCGTGATTCTCGAGCCAAACCTCAAAAAGCTTCAAAGGATTTATTAGAGGCGACATACTGGCACTGCTCTGTATGAAGCCAACTCTGGCATATGTAATTTACAGTCCCCTGTGACCCTGTTTCCCCACTGCCCCCTGGGTATCTCATAAACCAGATTCTCCAATTGAGCATGTTCACAGGCTGAGTGTCATCATTCACGTTCTCCAATTAAATATATTCATTGGGAAAAGCTCTGGTATTTTAGTTACAATCTTTTAAAGAGAAGAGTTGGAATGTACTTTCGCTTTCAAACTGCTGCGCTGCTCTTCCAGATTTCCTCCCCACCCTTTTTTATGGCAACTACTAAAACAGGCATAGGAATGTTTTATGAGTTGACAACCCCAGGCTGAGGGGATCAGGTGGAATGTAAAACACACAGGAAACCAGCCAGGTAGACTCCTGGCTCTTCGTCTAGTTCTGTACTACAGGTGGTCCTCGACTTACAACAGTTCATTTAGTGACTGTTCAAAGTTACAATGGCACTAAAAAAAAGTGACTTATGGTCATTTTTCACATGATGGTTGCAGCATCCCCATGGCCACATGATCAAAATGCAGATGCTTGCAACTGACTCATAGTTATGACAGTGGGGCCACCTTTTGTGACCTTCTCACAAGGAAAGTCAATGGGGAAACCAGATTCACTAAGCAACGGTTAAGATTACCTTAACCTCTTCTGTGCTTCACTTAACAACTGTGGCAGGAAAGGTCGTAAAATGGGGCAAGTTCGCTTAACAAATGTTTCGCTTGGCAACAAAAATGTTGGGCTCAATTACAGTGGTAAGTTGAGGACTATCTTTGTTTACTGTGTTGCTGCACCTCTCCCGAGTTTCAAACCAGAACTTTACTCAGCCTTACCTCGTAATAATCTCAGCCTGTACTTGACTCCTGATCTGCACAAATCAAGCACTCTGATATTGAACCCAAACAGGACACAGCCAGAATTTGCCACAGAAATAAGGCACGGCTAATGCAGTTCCAACATCTTGCTCCTCTAAAAACCACATCGTTCCCATTCCACAAAACCACTGGAGAAATGTACACATGATGGATTTTATTTTCAGGAAAGGATAGTTAGAATGATGCTACTGGTCACATCGGATGACCATTCTAATGTTTGCCATGGATGTCCCTGATCCTAGTGGTTTTCTGTATGGTGCTAAAGATCAGGTTTCCTCTTAAGCATTTGGACTGGGAACATTGTTGATTGGTTTGTCTGCTGCTTCTCTCTTTGCTATTGATTTGTAAGGTGGAAGGATTTAGCTGGACCTCTGGGATCTGATAGGTTAGTTGCTATAGTTTCTTTCTTAAAAAAAAAAATTGGATTCTTTACTGATTTTGTGGTCTTAATTCATTGTTAGCTGCCCAAGTCCTGGTAGCAAGATGGGCAGCCATAAGGCATTGTTTAGGTATACAAACAAATAAACAAATAAACATTTGCTTCCTCTTCCAATCCTCTTGCTTCCTCAAGCAAAGCCCTGCGAATATCCTAAAGCTTCTGGTGCATTTGTAACCTTCACATTTAACACTATGATGATGCTATGAGGAGTTCGCAATCAAGATACACTTCAGATGCTGCTCAACTATGCTGACAAGATCTATACTGCTCCCGGTTTCTGTTATTTTCTTTCCCCACTATTCACTCACCATGGATGAGCAGAGAGGACCTTGCGGATGAAAAGTGCAGCACTCTGGGAGACGTTAGGGTAGAGCTTGAAGGCATCGTAACGCCCTGCGAGGATCCTGCTCTCTATCTCCAAAGTATCTGCTTCAAAGAACGGTGAGCGACCACTGAGCCTGATGGGAACAATTGAGAATGGAAGGGATGGACAACATAAATGATCCACCTGTCTATGGAGCTAACATTCCCCAGTGAGATACCGCTTTGTGAGCATGGTTATTAGAGGTTTCTACATAAGATATTGCATGGAATTAATCAGAGAAAGATCTTTAATTCTACTTGACACACTTGATTCCCTGCCGTCACTCATCCCATCCATACTTACATAATATACGTGAGGACTCCAACGCCCCAGATGTCAGCTGCTGAGCCAATAGGATCCCCCTTCACCATTTCTGGAGCTGCATAGAAAAGAAATATCTTACTCAATCTGCCTTGGATTATGGATTTCCTGTCTGGCCGCTCACAGAGGGTCAGATTAGGTAATCATATCTCTTCAGCCCTTATTCTTAACACTGGTACACCGCAGGGTTGCGTGTTGAGTCCCTTACTCTATACTCTTTATGTGCGTGACAAAGGTGAAAGGTTACTAAGTTTGCAGATGATACAACAGTGGTGGGACTCATCTCTGGGGGGGGATGAGTCTGCCTACCAAGATGAGGTGGACTGGCTGCTTTAGTGGTGACAATAACAATAACTTGATCCTCAACACCAGGGAGCTTGTAGTCGACTATAGAAGGAACAGATCAGACATCCAGCCCTTGCTTATCAATGGAGACCGAGTGGAGCAAGTGGCCAGTTTTAAATTTCTGGGCATTACCATAAAAGAGGACCTGACCTGGAGTGCTCACATTGCAGCAGTGGTCAAAAGGACCCAGCAGAGATTATGCTACCTGAGACTTCTCAGAAAACAACAACTGAATGAGAAACTGCTGGTGACCTTCTACTGCTGCACGAGAGAGAGTATTTTAACTTACTGCACCTGTGTATTGTTTGCCAATTGCACAGTGGCAGATAGGAAAGCACTCCAGAAGGTTCACGTCATTGCCCAGAAGATCATTGGTTGCCCTCTCCCCTCTTTGGAAGAGCTTTAAAGCTTCCGCTGCCTTAAGAAAGTTCAAAACATTCTCAAAGATCCATCTCATCCCGGGAACGCTTTTTTTAAACTATTACCATCTGGCAGACTGTACAGGATAACAAAAACAAGGGCAAATAGGTTGAAAAACAGCTTCTATCCCAGAGCAATAACTCTATTGAATTCTACTGTATAGTGCAATATTAATACAATATCAGGGGTTTTCAATTCAATGTCTAGAATGTGAAGGATGTGTGCTTGTGTTTATTTTCATAGCCATAACGTACACTGAAGATGGTATTTAATTTTGTTGTACGAGGTGCAATGACAATAAAGTAAAGTAAACTAAAAAAAGAAAAAGAACTTCTTTCTTCTTTGTAGATGATGTGCAATGCCAAATTCCATATTGTGCCCAGAAGGGCTTTCATTTAATATACCATCAGCTTAATTGGGTCACATCTCAGTGCTTCCCGAGTACATCTCAAGTGGAAAACAAAGCTGCGTGTAATAAACAGCTTTATACAGCTGGAGCTACAAATAGAAAGAGAGACGGACTAAAAATGTGCAAGACAAGAAAGCTTACTCTTGCCATGTTGCCTTAAGAAGGTATGAGTCTCCTGGATAAGAAATCTTAAAGCCAATCCATGATTAGGAAGTGAAAGAGAGGAAGAGAGAAAGAGCAAATATAATTCAGACGCACCCATGTATTCGAGAGTGCCAACACGGCGCCCTAGCTTTCGCAGAACCATTGGATTGTACGTCTGGGCACTTCCAAAGTCAATAATTTTTATTAAGTTTGTAGCAGAAACAATGATGTTCTCAGGCTTCAGGTCAAGGTGAATGATATGTCGTCCATGAAGATATTCTAGAGCTTGAAGGATCTGTGTTATATACCCCACCACATCATCCTCTGAGTATCGGAACCTGCAGGCACAGAGATGAAATTAAAGGGATTGTTGGGAATTCGAGAATCAATTCCGGAAGTATGCCCTAGTATAATTATACCACACTTCCTATTTGAAAACAATTAGCCCTTAAATGAGCACAATGGAGATTTTTTTGCCAGCCTTCATCCACCCTTCAAGTATATTGAGAGTACAGCTCCTAGAATTCCCAATCTGTGGCAACATTGCCATAATGTTGTTCAACAATGGCCATCGTATTACAGTGTAATTGGTCACCATTTTAAGATAAATGTAATGCTCCTTCCTGCCTTGCTGAGGTGAGGTTTTCATTTTTCAAATTATGACCTTGCTAGTATTTTGCTTGAACATCAGTTTAAACCAGGGGTCTCCAACCTTAGCAACTTTAAGACTTGTGGACTTCAACTCCCAGAATTCCTCAGCCAGCAAAGCTTGTTCCTTGTTTGTTTACATATTTGGATCAAGCAGAAATTTCCCCTTTTTGCCTTTGCAATTCAGTGGCTCAGAGGTATAAGCATTTATTTAATTGCTCTGCTTTGAATAAATGATAATTTCCATTATCAATTTCCCTCCTAATTAAACCCGGTTCAGGCTACAAAGGATTCGTTGCCAACAGCCAACATGTTGTGATCATATTCTTCCAAAGCTCTTTAACTTTGGCCTGGTATATTCCCTTATGGAATTCTCTTCTTGCTGTCCAAATCCTGCAGGTTAAGGTTCCTGTTTGCTTGTCTTGGACGCAAAGCTTTTCTAACCAATCCGAAGTCTCATTCTCAGCATTTTCCCCCAACCAACCTGTCAACAAGGTGGAAGAGTATCTCCTTCCCAGTGCAATGTTCTGCTATCAGGACCAGGTAGCGAGGAGTAATGTAGGCTTCATGGAGGGTCATGATGCATTCATGGTGAAGACCCTTAAGGATCTCATACTCCTGCAGAACATTTTGCTTGCCTTCTGCCTCATAAGGTACAATTTTGGCCATAAAACGCCTGCCTGTGGCATTCTCCTTACATTCCCGAATCACTCCAAAACGGCCTCTGTACAGAAACATATAATGTATATTTAGCGCATGGCTGGATGCTGTTTAGTGCAAACTAGGACTACCTTCACATGAAAAATCTATCGGTTAAGAGTCCAGGGCCATTCCTTGTAAAAAACTTGGTGAATCGGTATTGACTAGCTTTCCTTATAATTGGCATTACAACTTGCTAGAGAAACCAGAGGGTGAATTATGTACCTTGTTTGTCACACTTCTTTTTGATGTCCTAGCATGTGTAATCCCACAGAGCCCTTTTTTTTGGTCTCTCTCTCCTACAAAAAACATCTGAAGTTGTTTTGAGCTTCATTGCTCAAGGACAATGTTGAAAATGCTACTCTGTTTCTCCAACAATACGGCCTCCCCCAATAGGAAGTCCCAGCATGCTTTATAGGCATGAAATGAAATTAAGCCCCTCCCCGCAAATTAAGGGCTATATTAAAACATGCGAAATGGGGGGGAATGTTGTGGGGGGGCTTGCCGTTAGGAAGTACTTTTGTTGCACACCCGGATATGGTGCTGCCTGCATTGAACCCGATACGAAGTGCCCCACCAACGCCGAGGTCAACATCCAAGCTGTCGCCGCCCGCCCGCCTGAAGATGCAAGGGGGGAGAATTAAGTCACCCCCGAAAAGATGGCCTAGCCAGTTTTGGGGGGCTCAAAAAAAATATTATTATATGAGAAACACGGTAGTTAAAGGAAAGAGTGTGCAATGTGCAGCCTATCACATGAATTTCTTGCAAACTGATGTTTGTAATAGAGAACTATAGTTCAATAATCCCTACAGATCTTTAGAGATTAGCAACAGATTTCACATGGTTACTCACAAGCTCCCTGACAGCTTGGGAGTTGTAGTCTTATAAATATTCCTAATGAGGGAAACTGGGTATATTTGTTCTTAAAAAGTGTGAAAATCCCTCTTCCAAGTACCTGAAAGGATGTTAGAAAGATGTTCTTCCTTCCTAAAGTGCAGGGAATGAAATTATGGTAAGTTATGAAATAGCAAATTCCCATTGAATATTAAGAAAAATGGGTAAAGCAATTCATCGGTGCATCCAATTACCCATTGAGGGGTAGAGTTTCCCTTTGCTAGATTTGTTCTAGAAGAAGCTGGCTAAACATCTATCAGATACTTTAATCTGGATTCCTGCATTTACTAAGGGACATGATGAACCAAACTATCCCTTAACTAATCCATGAAACAAACAACAGAGCAGAGGGGAAATCTCTCTGGAGTTCAGTTCACAGTATTGCAATGATCTGGGAGCTACAAGATCTGTTCAACTCAATGAGCCTCCTTTTGCAATGATACAAAACCTTCTGTTATTATTTACCGTAGTCTGAGGCTGCACACCATCTAAAACATCATATTTCAGAAATAACTCCATGAAAGATTTCAATCTCAGTCTCTGGGATCTCTGACCCAAAAGCTCCAGAGGAAAGGGAAAATGTCATCTTATGAGCCTCACTTTTACGTGGAATATTGGGCGAAATGGCCCAAGATATGATTCGGTATAAGGCAGCTTTGTTATTGATAGGAATAGATTACCTCGCTTTCTCATCCAAGAAGGTGTATGGTTTTTGAGGGACTCCTTGGCGCAATGCGGATTCATCTTTTGAAGTAAGACTGCCCCGGGCTCCACTATTAGTATCCTTACTGGAGGAAATGCTCCGTCTTAGAAAACGTGTGTAGGAAGGCATTTCTTCTGTGGTGGGGGTGACTGAAGGGCTGGGGACATCATCTGTTGTGGTAGGTGATCTTGATGGGATGGAGACAAAAGAGGTGGCAACATATGGCACGGTTTTAGGAGAGATGGTCCCTGAGGAGTCCACTGTGGAAGTTGGAAGTGCAGGCTGGGCTGGGGAGAACTTGGAGACAGAAGAATCAGCGGATGATGTCGGAGCAAGCAAACCCTTGGTGGTAGTTGAGACATTATGGGTGGTGAGGGAAGATGCTGTCCTGCAAGGCTTTAATGTTGATTCTGGGAAAGGAGCCTTTGTCATGGATGGACCTTCCAAAGTGGAGGAATCCTGGGAAGATGGAAGGAGAGCTGTAATTGGGAGCTTTTCTTTCTCTGAAGCCACAGGTGTCTCCTCACTGGCTTGAACCTCTTGTGGCCCAGGAGGAACCTGTCCTAAAACTGGCTCAGGGGTCGACAGAGGACTTGTGCTTTTCATCATTGGCTGAGGAGTTTGATCAGGAAGTGTCTGGGTAGATCTGGTTGAAGCTGTTCTATTCTTCTTGGCAGGAAGACCTGAATGGGCAGCTGTGGGTTCTGAATGGGAAGGAAGAAAAAAAAAACAAAGGTGAAAGATTCTAGGCTCACATTCAGGGGTGGGATATGACAGGGTTAACTACTGGTTCGGGATTTATGAGCTTCCCTGCACGCTGTGAGCCGCGCGCCTGTAAATCGTCATCAGCATGCTGTGTGCAGAGACATGGCCTTTGAAACAGCCCTCTTTTCTTAATTTTTTAACTGCAGCTGTGCCTCATTTGGCAGCTCAAAATAAAAAAATCAGGAAATAAAGGTCAGGTAAGAGCCCGGGTGGGTGGGTGGGTGGGCAAAAACATCAGCAGACATAGAACCAGTTCTGTCTGCTGCTTTTCAGAGCTACCGGTTCTACAGAGGTGGACAGAACCGGTAGAAACCCACCCCTGCTCACATTCCTTCCAAAAGTCAGTGAGAATGCTGAGTTCCTCTCCAAAATAGGAATGCCAACAGTGATAGAACGAGGTGAAGGAAGAAAGGCTCTCTGTATTAAAGACAGGTGCATTTTGCTTCCATGGGATGGACTTATGGTCAGTTGAAGGCATAATCCAGAATGTGGAACTATATGACAAGCACATACAAGATAGAACAAGGGGTTGGCTGTTATTTAAAAAAACAAGCTTGATGAGATACCACCAAACAACTTCTACTGGTATCTGCTTTGCCTCCTGCTTTCTGAATTACCCACAGAAAGAAGTTCTCAAGAACTATATCACACTGAAGAGGCATTGGGGGGGGATTAAGCTTAAAGACATCAATAGAAAGCAAAGGTATTGCCACCCTGCAGCGAGGTAGACAGCAAACAAATTTAATAAATAAATAAAATAAATAAACAAGGTATGTTAACAACAGAAGAGAAATTGCCAGTTCAGAAAGATAGAAGAAGTGCAAATCTTATTTTTAATGTGAGTACCATCAAATACAGAACAGGAAAATTCCCATCCGTCCAGATAACTGTCTCATCAAGTTTCCCACCCCTCACCTCCCTCTCACTCCTTTTTGATAAATGTTATCTTTTTGACTGTAAATTGGAGGATAAGGACTGTTTTATTATGAATACTTGTAAATGGTTCTGGGCATTTTATTTCACTGAAGAAATAATGTAACCTAACGTCATTTAACATGAGGCTTTCCTCCTTCTCACCTCCACTCTCAATGAATACTTTCCCTGAAGGGTTGCTGTACGGGCCTTGTCCAGCCTTGTTGGCACAGGCAACACGGAACTTGATGGTGTTTCCCACAGGAAGATCTGCTGCATTGAAGTAGCAGTCAGCAATGCCTGAGCTAATTGTTTTCCAATCATGTTCTCCTGAGGGAGTGAGAAAAGGGAGTTATAATTTTTTTTTAAAAAAACACAGCTCTCATGAATTGTCTTGACCAGGGGTGTCAAACTCAAGGCTCGCGGGCCAAACACAGCCCGTGGGGTGATTAAATCTGGACCGGCCTGGACATAGCAACAGACCAGGCTGTGTAGCCCCCCCCCTCCCCCCGGCACTCCTTTTTGGCCAGCAGAGTGCTGCAGGAGGTGTCCGTCCCATCTACCACACCCCAGCCAGGCCACAGAAGAGAACTACAATGCTGATCCGGCCCTCGAAGGAATCCAGTTTGACACCCCTGGTCTTGACTGTTGTGTTTCATGCCCCCTTAAGGAATCTCAATCGTTTTCAATCTAATATAATTCCCTTTGCAAATCTAATGTGAATATGAGCCTGGTACAAATATCGGTGGTTAAATGAAAGTGAAAAGAAATGTTTCCAGTCTCAGAAACCTCCAGCATTCCCTTTAGATGGATTTTGGTTTTGGCCACTGGTCAAAATCTGGTCTTCATACTTGGACTTAGTCCAGAGATGATAACCCAAAATCCCAGAGTTCTTTCTGTCACCAAATTTCAGAAGCACGGTTGCTAAAAATGGACAGCATGGTTTTCTTCCATTCTGAAGCAGGAAACACCTCAGCTGCAATGTAACAGGCAGTTAACTAATACTTGGATTTACACTGCAAAGAACCACATCCCCCCGAATGCAGAAAACCCACCCCTTCCAATATATGACCATTTTGCATCATTGCTCTTTTTTCACTGTGGCTTCTCACACCCTTTCCCCCAAATGGTGTGAGTATCGGCCATGAAAGAGTTGCACAACAGATGAGTGTTACTGAACGCAAAGAGCTAGGGAAGGAAGACCAGGAAACCCATCCTCTCTTCTTTGTGTTGTATTAACCAGTAGTTTGGAAAAGAAGAGAAAAATCTGAGTAGATAGGAGAGGGCAAGCAATTAGTAACAGACTCATTAGAAAGAGACAAAATTCTTCCAATAAAAAATGCATGAATGCTTCAGGTAGCTGTTGAAAAGAACAGCTGCTCCTGAGAATGTCTGCAGTGTATCCACTCTGCCACATCCAATAGGCGCATACCATCTATCTTGCGTTCCAGTGTGTATGTGCAGGGCGCCTGGGTGTCTGCTGGCCTCCACAGCACCAGGACTGTGTTCCTGTACTTTTGAGGAATTTCTGGAGTACCTGGTCTCCCAGGAAGACCTGTTCCAAATGGGTTTTAAAAAAGGAGAATGAACTGAGCGACATGAAACAGCAACCGTATATATACGGTAGAGATATCAATATTGATTTGAGAGGGGGGTGGGGGTTAGAAAACCTTTGTTTATTCTTACGTGCCACAGCAATGGTGCAGGAACTAGTTGCAGTGCCCAAGGCATTTGTAGCATTACATTCATACAGGCCTGCGTCCTTCTTGGAGACTTTGGAAATGGTAAGTAGCTGACGGCCATCTTTACATGCCACAATATTAAGAACTCCCTCTGAAACCAGGGCACGTTTATCTGTGGAAGATAGAAAAATAGTCAATTCAACCAAACTAGAGACTTCGGGGATTCACTCTGCTCTTCATCAGCTTTTCAAAATTATGCCGCGTTGCTATTGTTTCCCACATCTGATAACAACGTATTCAAACATACAAAGGTGAAACGTGTGCCCCACCCATGCCCTTCAACTTCTGCTTCTGAGTTTCCCAGGTGGATTTGGTCTAACCCTGAGTGACTACAGAAGTCGGTTTACAGGACATGCTTAACATGGTCATTTCTAGATCAGGATCAGTCCCGTTCCTGGTGTTAAATTAGCTAGTTATATCATGTGTACTCAGAAGACTGGTTGATTGAGTTGATTCTCGTGTCCACCTCACAGAAGCCTTGCGGCCTTATAGAATGGAGGTTTTTTTAAATATATTTCTTTACTTGCTTTTGTTTTTAATCCCATATATGCACACATTTTTAACCACATATAGGTACATGCACCCACACAGGGGTGTATAAAATTACAGGAGGGAGGGAGGGAGGGAGAGAAGGGAGGAAGGAAGATTATAAATAACATAAAAGAGACAAGAACATTGGCCAAGATGACTTGTCCATATAACAAAGGTTACTCACGTTCCACTGCCCACTGTACCACATCACAGAGAAAACCAGGGGTCATGGAGACTGAGTTAGTCGTTTCATTTAAACACACCCAGAAAGTTAGTTTTAACAATTGTTGTTCTTGATGCAATTTAATTCTGGATTCCAGCTCTTTGCAGTCATTAGGATGGCAGTTCAGGCCAAGAGTTTAAGACCTGTGCCATAAAATCCTAATTGGGTCTCTTCAGCTTTTTTTCTACCCTACAGTTGTATCCCCTTTCTGATAAATTTTAATTCAGCAATGAAGTTTCAAGGCTGAATATTACTAAGCTCAGCCTGCAGCCACCACAGCCAATGGCAGAGCGTGCAGAAGATGGTGGGAGTTGTGTACTCCCACACATTTGGAGAACACTAGATTGGAGATAGTCCTTGCAAGGCAACTCAGAATGAATCAGGTTCCCCCTTTCTTGACCTTGGGTTCTGGGGAGCTCCATGGCCTATCACAGCCCGCATGCAGGATATGTGTCAGGATTCCAAGTATTATACCCATAGCAAACAGAACTCCGAGACCAGCAGGTTCCTCAAAGAACAGGCTTATTGGACATATCATATTGGCACAGACTGGTGAAAACCAACACTAAAGGTTCCCATAGTTTTCACCTAATTAAAAGTAAAAATCCCTCCCCCTTTCCCAAACAATCAGTCAGTCACATAGTCCAATCAAGGTGCTGTCTGGTTGCTTGGAAACTTCACTCCTCCTCTCTTCACCTGTGGGAATGTCCTTGGTTCCCAGGGGAATCTATTTTGTTTTGGCTACAAGCCTCAGCTATCTCTATTCCCCCACTCCCTATCCCTCAGCATCATTGTGGCAACACTGAAGCCTCCAAGATGGCCTCAGTCAGGCTAACTTCAGAGTTGACAATACGTGCCTCTCCTTGTAGTGCAGAACTTACCTTTCATCCACAGAATGCAAGGGGCAGGGCTGGCGGCAGGGAGGCAGCAAAGTTGCACTGCCTCTCCCTCCAACAATACCTGGTCCTTTAATTTTATGTGGAAGACAGGAGGGAAATCTGGTAGGAAAACAGATAAAAGGTATTCATTGGAAAAAGGCTGTGAAATACCACCTGGTTGGTACTAAAGGACTTGGCAGGAATCTAATTCTTATTACTGGGATAGGAATAATTCCCTCGAGTGAAGGCAGATAATTTTACAACCCTGAACATCTTTCTTGACCCCCTTCCTGAACTGCAGCCATAAAACTTAAGTGGCAAATCATACAAAATTGCTAATGCAGCTTTCTGCCAATTTCTGATGGGAAAAACTGAAGTGGCGAACTCTGTTGGGGTGAACTTAGTGCACCTAAAAGAGCTAGAAAAAGACAAAACAGAACATAAACAATAAAAATAAATCCTTAAAGTTGGTAGGAAGAAAAGCAAAACAAAAATGGCTCCATCCCCCTTATGTGACATCTTAATATCTCTACCCCGTCTCTCCCCTGGTGAAAATAATGTGATAATAATGTAATAAAGTACAGGTCCCAGTTGCAAGCAAGCAAACAAGAAGACCACCCCTGCTGTACAACTTCAGGCAAGAAAAAAATGAAGAAAAAGAAAACCTCAGGCTGGAGCCTTCAGGATTGTAGGGCTTCCTGCAACTATAAAAAATTCCTAACACAGCAAAATAGGAGTAAGCAAATCAGGAGCTCTCCCTCCCTGACGCTAAATGACATAAACATACCGGATTCACTGAGCGTGTAAGGTTGACTGACAATAACAACACCTTCCCCTCTCAGGCTGGCAGGGAGGTTGGGCTGAGAGGCCACCTTGTCCTTCTTGGCACGGGATAAACTCCAGCGTTCCCAACGAGAGCTGCGGCGTTGGCCGTCACTGGAAACTGTAGGGGCAACAAACACGGGCTGGCTCTTTCTTGATCAGAACAACAGGATTAACTTGGATTTCCTTCTGATGAATGTGCAGAACCATGGCTTACTCACACTTGCTACATGTGCCCTACTTTCCCATAGCCATACTTTATTCTTTTGTATACCCGGCTCTTCACTCTCACCCTTCAGCTCTAACAGATCTGGTTTCCCTAAATTCATAACACAGGAGATGCTTCTTATAATTCTCCTTGGGGTGTCAGAGCCTCTACTGGGCTTTTACTTAATTGCATATTGTGGCCATCATTCCCCCCAAAAAACAGAAAGCCTGGGGAAGATTTTCTCATTATTTTTCTTATTGTGAATTGTGCCCACCCAAACTTTTTGGGATTGAATAATCCTTGATTATATTCTATGCTGCTTGGAACTTATGGTGTAGAGTGCAGAACACATGGAGGATTCATGATGGACTATCAAACTCTAGATGGCAAAACAAAATAAAACATCTATGCAGATCAGATGAAGGCTTATCACACTACATCAGCATAGAACGCTGAATGTGTTAATTAACCATGGCTTGTTTTTTTGTAAACCATCAACCATGAGAATTTCTGGTTTAGTGTATTGTGTGAATGCCCCAAATAGTTAATTCAGCAATGAATTTAGGATATTGTGCACTAAACTACAATGTTGGCTGCTACACTGCATCATTTCAGTGTGCAAGGGTATATATGGCTGGGGAATATTTCAATGTGGTCAAAAAAGTGCCTACATTTGCAAAATTAACATGTTGCTTACTTTGTTCTTCCCTGATAGGTCTTCAGGAATAAAGATTATTTGAATATGGTGAAGGATGTGAATCTGATCAAATGCATCTTATAAAATATCGAATGCAGCAGCAAGAGCCCTTAGATATAGGTCTGCCTGCCCGTGAGTTCAATTTGCAATCCTTCCTCTTTCCCTTCCCTTCCCAATGGCTTGTAGCTCACCATTGCCTGTAGATGACTCAGACTGGAACGATTCTGTAGAGGGGACCTTAGCAGACTGGGCTGCCAGCTGGTTCTGTGGGATGCCCACCTGGCGCAGGTTTTCACCCTCAGAGGTTGCACGGCGTATCTGAGAGAGAAAAGGAGCTCTCTTCTCAAGCGGCCGGACATGGTCACCCGTAGCAACAGGCTGGTTGTCATCAGCCTGTTGTTGTGAGTGGCTACGTAGATGTGTGGAGAGGCGGCCTACTTTACTTCCAATCTTCCGGCGTACGGCCATGACAGGGGATTCACTGGAGCCAGGCTCAGATTGCTGGCCCTCTGGGTCCTTTTTGTCCTTGAAAGCCAAGCCCCAAGAAGGTCTGCGCCCCTGGCCCATACCCCCTGTGTCCTCCTCCTTGACCTTCTTTCTCTCAGCAGGGGGAGTGCGACGCAAGCGCATCGACATTCTGCGAATGAAGCCTCCTTCCTTCTCCACTTCATGCAGGTCCTGTACTGAACGAGAGCGTGCTCCTAGCTGCTTGGGGGCCGTAGGCTTGGCAAATTCTAGCGGAGCCCCCACTGGTCCTGGTCGATAAATGCCTTCTTCCTGCACCAGGGGTTTGGCCAGGTGCCGCTCCTCAGATCTGGAGATTAGCTTGTAGCCTCTGCTGAAGGAGCCTTCCCTGCCTCTTTTAAATTTGGCTTCAAAGACTTCTTCAGAGTCTATGTCTGCAATATTCTCCGCTGAGGAGGGAAGAGCTTTCTCTTTGCTGGAGACCACAGCAGAGGGTGGCACTTCTGTGGGGGATTGCTGAGGCGCGCCTTCAGGAGCAGCAATGGAAGGTTCAGCGGTCTCCCTCTGAGGGCTTTGGGAAGATTCACCAGCCAAGGACTTCATGACATCAGCGTAAGCAGAACGTTTTGGAGCAGAGCTGCCGGGAATGGGTGAGATTTGCCGGGATGGTATTGATTCCCGATTGGAACTCACAGCTTTCCCAGCCACTGGAGTATCAGGTTTGGCAAATCTGAGGGCTGAGGGCTTCTCCTCAGATTGCCTGGGGATAGGTCTCCTCAGGCTAGACCTAGTGAGGGACTTAGTTCCTACCTCCATCTCAAGGCTGGGTACTTTGGAGAGAGCTTCGTGTGGTATGTGAGGCCGGGACTCATTCAGTGCTGAGAGGGATGGTGTCTCTTTTAATTTCTGAGTCTCCGCCTGTGCCAAGGGGATTTCCAATGGTGCCCCGGAGCGCCGGTGCAGGATGACAGGCTCCCCATCACCCTGGCTGAAGGAGCTACTTTTTTGGAGGAGACGCCCCTCAGGGGGCAAATGCTGTGGGGCTGTCTCACTCGAGGCTGCACGCACCATCTTATGCCCTGGAGACAGCTGTTTTTCTAACCGGGGAGGCCTCGGGACCTTCTTCTCAAGGCCAAGGGTCTCCAACAGGGGTCCCCGCAAGCCACTCAGTTTGCCATCCACAGGACTGCCTCGCAGTAAGCGCTGGCGCATGAGCTCCAGGCGCTGAGCATATTCTTCCTCAGGGAGGCCACCTTTCCTATGATACAATGTGCCAGGGCTGGGGCTGCGGCGGGGCAGCTCCATAGAGGACGCTTTGGTTAAGATTGGACGGGAGGGGGACTCAGCTTCCTCTGAGGGAAGGTTGAGCAAAAGGGCACTGTCTGCAGAACTGCCTCGGCGCAACCCCCCCTTCTGTGAGGCTTTGTCAGAAGCGTCTGGAGACTCCAGGCTGGAGCCTTTCTTCAGTGCTCTCCTTTTCTCTGGCCTTTTTTGGACGTCATTAGTCTCCTCTTCAAAAGATCTCAGGGCTTCGGCCTCCGTGGAATGTTTCTGGGGCAACTTGCTCTTATGCTTCCTCATGGATGACTCTACATCTTCCTTTCTCTTGGTTCCTCTCTGCTCTTCATCCTGCCAATCCATGGATGTATCCTCCTCCGTCAGAGCCCCATCCGGACCCACGGACTCCTCCTCTGTGGGAATCTCAGTCAGGGACATGCGGGAACCGGAAAATTCAGGCTGGTGGGGCTTGGGAATATAGGGCAGCTCTTCAGGGTCATCAGAATCCGAAGAAGAGGAGAGGACTGATGTTTCCTTTAGGAGACGTGGCACGGCAATAGATAAGTGCGTGGATGTGTCCTCTAGAAGCTCAGGGATAGGTCGTGGCACCATGTTACACTTGTAGCTAATCTGGGAGCGCTGTGTAAAAAGAAGTATAGGAAGGACAGGGAGAAAGAATGAGCTGGAACTCAGGCAAAAACATAGAAATCTCCCACCTCTTTGGCTGCTGTGCCTATCCAGTAATAGTATCCCCTCATCCTGTTTTGTGCAGACTAAGCAGGTAAAATATTTACTTGGCTAAAATATATTTTCAAGGCTAAGATATATTTTCATTTAAATAGAATAAGCTGCCCATTCTTAAAACAACAGAATTTTGGCCAGCCTTGGAAAAAGTAAACATATCTTTTACAGACATGTAAAACCATGTTTGTACTTTCTCTGCATTAATATTTTCTAAAGCTGTCCATGAAAAACATATGAGAAGTGCAATACAAAATAGACAGTAAAAAATATATGACTTATCCACATTCCTGGTCATCAGAAGTTAGATTTGCAACTAAAGATCATTGATCAGGTAACAGTGCAGTTCTGTATTTTAATCTTTGCTAGTTAGTGTCTATCCATTGACTTCTCTAATTTATTGTTTTATAGTCTTTTATATCAAATTTATATCACTCTGAATTCTGTCACTATGTATTTTAAAGATAAATAAAATATAATTCAGAATTTTGTTTTGCTATATTGGTATATATAATTCAGAATACTGTTTTGTTTTGTTTATTCCTACGATATCAATTGGGTATGAGTGAGAAATTGTGTTGGGGAGAGGAAAGTTGGCTTTTTGCCTCTGCAATGACATGCATTACTAATAAATTTGTAAATGAACACAAAGATTACAAAGCATTGCTGGGATCATGCCTGCTTGAATCTCTCTGTCTCATTCATTATTTTTGGTTGAGAAAAATGTCAGACTCCAGTCAAACCATCAAAGAAATGCCACCACAGAGCTAGGAGATATTTACCTGCCACTTCCTGCGAGATATGAACAGTTTGAGATGATCCGTGCTGATACTCTTGCCCTTGGCCAGTGTCTGGAAGGGAAAATGGGTGGTAAAGAGTGAAGCAAATGGACACAGTGGGTTTTGTTCTCAATATTTATGGGAGAAGCCCAAGCCTGCTGGGCTTCTGAGAGACAGAGAGAAAGAATCTTCAAAATCCCAAATGGGCTCCACAGTTTTTCCCTCAGTGGCAGATTATTGTGGCAGGACTCACCTTGAACCAAGGATGTTCCAAGGTCTGCTCTGCATTAGGCCTCCTATTTGGAAAAGGTAAGAAGGATTAATGTGCAGATTAAGTGGCATTCATCTGTACAGGGGAAGTTAGAGTTGGATCCATTCCAGAAATTAAGATTATTTTCTTCCCAATGTGATCATCCCCAGCTGAATATCTTCTTTGTTTTACGAATGTCTTCTTGTACAACTTTCCAGGGGTGGGAAAGAAATTGCTTTAGTTCTCACTGGAATGTGACTTTATTTAATTGCGTATGTTATAACCCTGGTTAGTGCATTATTCTAAATGTTGTGACACTGTTTGCTAAAATATTAAGGAAAAGTCTGTAAAATGTTTGGAAACATTATGCATCTGAGGTAAGATTGCCCTTCCTTCCTTCCTTCCTTCCTTCCTTCCTTCCTTCCTTCCTTCCTTCCTTCCTTCCTTCCTTCCTTCCTTCCAAACTTGTATGGTGCTCATCTCACCAGAGGCAACTCTAGATGTCTTACATACAAATAAAATATACTGTAAAACACTAAAACAATACTGCAGCATCCCCAGGGTCACGTGATCAAAATTCAGATGCTTAGTTCATCTTTATGAAAGTTGCTGTGTCGCAGTCACATGATCCCCTTTTGCAAACTTCTGACAAGCAAAGTTAATGGGGAAGCCAGATTCACTTTCCAACTCGGTTACTAACTTAACAACTGCAATCATTCACTTAACAACTATGGCAAGAAAAGTCATAAAATGGGGCAAAACTCACTTAACAAATGTCTCACTTAGCAACATAAATTTTGGGGCTCAATTGAGGTTGTAAGTCGAGGACTACCTGTACATTAAGTCCTGAAATTATACTGCATATATTTTTTCTGTTATGGGTGACCAAGCAAATTGCAATGAAAGTTATCAAATGTCAATACACTTGTTTTCTTCAGGATCTTGACTCTGATTTGTTTGTAATGTATGTCCAGATTTTGTTCTCAGCCTATTCAAAGCTTTTTGTGGCTTTGGGAGAAGTTTGCTTTCAACCTGTCTATCACTATGGAGAAGTGATGCAACTTACAACCTACACACACACACACACACACACACACACACACACACCCTATCATGTCCCCTGCAGCAACTGGTACTTACAGGCGATCGTTAACCAGCACTTTGATGACAAAGCCTTTGGCCTCCCTGGTCAGTCCTGTGAACATGCTCTCCTCAAAAGCCACGTTGTAGTTGCGGATATTCATGAGGGTGGTCTTGTCATTTTCACCCACAAACGGGGAGATCCCTGTGAGACTAGGAGAGGGAACAGTCAGCAAATCCTCAGCAGGCACTCAAAAGGCATTTGTGGGATAAAATCTGGGGCTTCCTTATCTGCTCAATGTATACAGGAAACAATTCTAGAGTGGGGCCAATGAATTGGAGAAGCTTTTCAAGGTTTCTTAGAACAGAATAACAGAGTGGGAAGGGACCTTGCAGGTCATCTAGTCCAACCCCCTGCTCAAGCAAAAGACCCTAGATCAATTCTTGACAGATGGCTAACCAGTCTCTTCTTGAAAGCATCCAGAGATGAAGCTCCCACAACTTCTGAAGGCAAGCTGTTGATTGTTCTCACTGTCAGAAGATGTATCCTCATTTCTAGGTTGAATCTCGCCTTGATCAGTTTCCATCCATTTTTCCTCATCTGGCCTTCAGGTGCTTTGGAAAATAGCTTGACTTCCTCCTCTTTGTGGCAGCTCCTCAAATATTGGAACACTGCTATCATGTCTCCCCTTCTCTTCACTAGATTAGCCATGCCCAGTTCCTGCAACCATTCATCGTAGGTTTTAGCCTCCAGTCCTTTAATCATCCTGGTTGCTCTTCTCTCTACTCTTTCTAGAGTCTAAGCATCTCTTTTTTAGTGTGGTGACCAAAACTGGATGCAGTATTCTAGGTGTGGTCTTACTAAGATAAGGTTTCCCCAAGCCATAATTGGCAGCATGAGAACACTCCAAAGAGAAATCAATGTCAGGCCAGACTATAATAAGATTAATAAGGAAAACCCCAATCTTGCTCATTGTGCTGCTTATTCACTATTGTGTGTGAGGTGGAAAGGTTCTGAGTCTTGGATTAACTCCCCAAACCTGGGGCTTACCAAAGATAGGTCATGACTCCCACAGGCCTGTAAAGAGAAACGAGAGAGGGAAATTCATTGCTTTGATAGACCATCTAGTAATGGTATCTAAAAAAAGCTGATCAATATAAACTCAAAAGTCCTGGGGTTTGAGTCCCTAGGATTTTTTAAATGTTTTGAAGAGACACCCCCCACCCCACAACTTTTAATTCAAACAAGCCCATTCTAGCATGGTGAAGAACGTTGGGCAGCATGATCTAATTCCACAATCTAGTCTCACATTCCCCAAGACAGTTTCAGTTCTGACATAAAAACCTGATTTATGTCCCCCTGAAGGCGAAATTATGAATGCTGTATAATCTGTGGCACTGAGCCAGCTTGGCATTTTCTCCCACCCCCTCCATCCCCCCTGGCTCTTCTTCATGAAGCTAGCAATCCTAAGCAGAAATACAAGAGTGTTGCCCTAAGCAATCATCACCCTAGAACCATTTCTGAGCTGTGGCTGTTTTCCAATAGCTTAAAATCTCTAGATGCTGCTCTTTTAAGCGCCTTCTCCATATCTATATACAGGGAAGTACACAAAAGTAAACATCACAATGTGTAGTTGCCCCCATTTACCAGACATCGGTGACCATGGACACAGGGCTCTGGCTGACAATCTCAGGACCAACAAATTCAGGGGTGCCATATTTGCAGTATTGCAGTTCATCTGGAATCAGTTCTTGGGCATTGCCAAAGTCACAGATTCTCACCTGATCACTGCCTGGTTCAGCCAGCAGTAGGTTTTCAGGCTATGGAGGAAAAACAAAATGGAAATAGTTTAAAATTTTAAAATAGCATTCCAGTCAAAACTAGACCTTGGATTCCCATTAGCTGACCAGAGGTTACCACAGTTACTTCCTTCTCCTGAGGATTTCCTACAGCCTTCCTTCTTTGCATTATTTAGCCCATGGATACCGATAAAAGTACATTTCTTAGATGAGAGTCCATCCAATGTTACTGTAAGTATTTACCAGGAAAAGGAAAATGATTTTTAATCCTTATTACCTGATTAATCTCTATTTCTGATCAAAATTGGAGACAGTAATAGAAATTATCACTGATTTTGTTTCTTCCATATCCTCCTTAAAACTTTTAACACCAAACGTTCTTTTACTAGAAAGAAACTTTCCATTCTTATTAAGCAACTTTCCATTTCCTCCAATATGCTGAACAATCCAAGCTCCTGCAATCTGACAAAAATGCTTTTGAACTAATCATTTTCCTTGCTTCAGGGCCAATTAACAGTTCCAAATCCACACTACCATTTCCATCTCTGATAACACAAAAATCTTATAATGGGGGGGAAAGTCCCAAACTGAATTGTGCCATAGGCAAGAAAACCTGGAGTAAAAAACAGGAGAAAAACCCTTAGTTTTCTTCCTAAAAGAAAACTATTTATGATTGGCCATGTTTATATGTCAACCTTTTTTGTGACTAATTCTACAATCTACTCCTGAAATTCTAAATGTGCAACATTAGCCCAAAATGTTGGTGCGCTTATTTCTCTACCGATTGTATTCAACCTTCATAAATGTTGTTTTTTCCCCCAGAACTCTCTGAAATTTTGCCAGTAAATACAAATTAGTGCCAACTTGCCACAGGAGGCATAATTCCTATGACAGCTGAAATACTATTTCTATGTTATCCTGCCCTCTTAGAAACATTTATAGGATGAAAAAAATGGGACAGGGGTGAATAATATGGTGACTCCATTTCAGTGCTACCATTCATCAGACAGCAGCCAAACTGGCAAACACATACTTCAATTCTTCCTACATATCCATTTAGCCTTTTTCTGCAAACTTTAGCAATGTAATTTGAGGCAATGGTTCATAAAAGTGGTTGCCATCTTGAAATGATTATCCAATGCCCTTGTTCCCAAAGGCCCACTATCTTCTGTTTGATAGTCATGAGGTAAAATTTCAATAAGGTTTATTTTAAAAGCAAAAGTTTGAACAACTGTAGCTAATTTGATTACTTCTTCAAATTTTTCTGGCCATTCAAGACCTGTTCCTTTTTGCTTCTATTCAAACTACAACTCCCACCAAGCACTGTGCTCAGTCCTGTTAAAGGATAGGCCAAGGGTATGGAATTTGTAGTCCTCTCTGCTTAATTTAAGATGCCTCTGCTGGGAATCAGCTCATATATCTAGCAGTAGGAGTAATCTGTTGCTTCCCTGATAACCCATAAGAGGAGATGAAAAAGCTCCAAAGAAAAAGAATATCAGAAAATGAACAAAAGATGTACACCCACCCAATTTGGGTTTTGTTTGTGCCCTTTCAGACCCTCCCATCTAAGGCAATATAGCCCTAGAAATAAGTGGAGAGAGAAGAAACAGAAAACCATCATTCTGATTTATGCACAATTATTTTTTCAAAGGCGAAGTCTCATCATTAGCTTTGGAACCTTTGTTCTCAGAAAACAAGTTAACATTACTACCAACCTGCCTTCAGTCAAGGACCTATATACTGCATGAATCACAAAGAGGGCTATGAAGATATTTACAGACCCTTCACATCCTGGACATAAACTGTTTCAACTGCTTCCCTCAAAATGACACTATAGAGCACTGCACACCAGAACAACTAGACACAAGGACTGTTTTTTCCCAAACACCATCACTCTGCTAAACAAATAATTTCCTCAACGCTGACCAACTATTTACAAAGTCTGCATTACTATTAGTATTAATCTTCTCATCACTCCTTATCGTCCATTCCCTCCCACTTGTGACTGTATGACTGTAACTTTGTTGCTTGTATCCTTACGATTTATATTGACTGTTTCCTAGTATGATTTGATTGCTTATTGTACCCTATGACTATTAACAGATAACAGATAATCAGAGTTGGAAGGGACCTTGTAGGTCATCTAGTCCAACCCCCCGCCCAAGCGGGAAACCCTACACCATTTCTGACAAATGGCAGTCCAATCTCTTCTTGAAAGTCTCAAGTGATGGTGCTCCCACAACTTCCGAGGGAAAGTTGTTCCATTGGTTTATTGTTCTCACTGTCAGAAAGTTTCTCCTTATTTCCAGGTTAAATCTCTCTTTTTTCAGTTTCCATCCATTATTCCTTGTCTGGCCTACAGGCACTTTAGAAAATAGTTTGACCCCTTCCTCCCTGTGGCAGCCCCTCAAATATTGGAAGACTGCTATCATGTCTCCCCTGGTCCTTCTCTTTACTAGACTAGCCAGGCCCAGTTCCTGCAACCGTTCGTTCTATGCTTTAGCCTCCAGTCCCCTAATCATCCTGGTTGCCCTTCTCTGTACTTTTTCTAGAGTCTCAACATCTTTTTTATAATGTGGTGACCAAAACTGGATAGAGTACTCTAGGCGTGGTCTTACTAAGGCTTTATAGAGTGGTATTAGTACTTCCTTGATTTTGATTGTATCCCTCTGTTAATACAACTTAGGATTGCATTAGTTTTTTTCGGCTGCTGCTGCACACTGCTGGCTCATATTTAGCTGATTGTCCACTAAGACTCCAGAATCCCTCTCACAGTTACTGCTATTGAGCCTGGTTTCACACAGTCTATATGTGTACTTTTGGTTTTTCTTGCCTAAGTGTTGGACTTTACTTTTCTCTACATTGAATTTCACTTTATTAGATATGGCCCAGTGTTCTAGTCTGTCAAGATCCATCTGGATCTTGAGCCTATCTTCTTGGGTGTTAGCTATTAAGTGATGTACCTGAATGATTATTGACTCTTGATGAATGTATCTTTTCTTTTATGTACACTGAAAGCATTTGTATCAAGACAAATTCTTTGTGTGTCCAATCACACTTGGCCAATAAAGAATTCTATTAACTTCAGTTGGCTTTTATTTCCAATTTTGATCAGAACTTCTTTACAGACCATTCATTAGCCTAGTATTCCTCAGCCTTACAACTTTAAGATATGTGGACTTCAACTCCCAGAATCCCCCAGCCACACTTAAAGTTCTGAGGTTGAGAAACACTGTCAGAAAAGTGGAAAAGTGGCATGCCCCCAGCTAAAAGTAAATCCAACCTACTTCTTCCTTTCACTGAACAATAAAGAGTAAGAGGAGCCACCCAAATCAAAAACTTAGGGAAGCAATAAGCTTTTCCAGATACTGCTGAGCAACTGAATTATTTATGGACATGCGTGGCTGCTAGATTGTAACTAGCATCATGGCACATTAAGGCATGTCCATTTTGACATATGGTTTCTTTCTGTGTGCTCAAAGATACTAGCCAACATTTAGCTGGTAATTTCATTGCCTCTGCAGAGAACTGCATTCACTGAATTCTTATGTAATTTGCAGTGAATGTGTTAGCCAGCCAGAGTATTATACTTTCAAGCCAAAATACGCTAAACATTCAGAAAACCAAGTGAGGCTGCAAGCATGCTGGAACAAACTCACCTTAATGTCAAGATGCAAGATGCCATTGCGGTGGAGGTAACCAATTCCCTCCAGGACCTGCCTCATGTAGCAGCGGATCTACAGGGAGAATTGGGGGGGGGGGGGGAAACCAACCCAATGGCATTAGAGGTGCCTATACAATCAAGTGCAACTCCATATTCACTGTTAAGTAAACAGGTGCTTCCCCTTCTTATCCCTCACTCATCCAATACTTTGTGCTGAGGCTGGTGCTGAATTTACTTTGGTTGCCGAGCTGAAACCCTTTCCTTGAGGAGAAGAGGAATGAGGGTGTTGCTTATTTTTTTCCCCTCGGCTTCCCGCATTATTACTCTTTTGGATAGCCTGCCTGCAATTAGAGCAGGAACACTGTTCTAGTTTTGGTTTATCTGGAGAGACCTTTCCAAAATTAATGCCAATGTAGTGCTGTTTAAAATGAGGTGTCCTCAGTAATAATATCTCCATCTCTAAATTTCCATTCATAGGATGTAATTCATATGAAGTCACCAAAAGCTGAACTACTGTTAGGGATTAGTCAGAAGCAAATAACAAGCAAGCCAATCCTCAATCATGATAAGGCAGAGGTTATGATGGTGGGAGCATCGTCCGGCATGAGAGATGGTACCGCAATCCCTCTCATCACAATCTTCATAATCTTGACTGAGAGAGAATGTGCGGCTTTGCTGTGCAGAGGTAGCCTAAATGCTTAATCGCAATAGCACTTCAACTTATGTATCACTTCCCAGTGCTTTACAGCCTTCTCTAAGTGGTTTTCAGCCTATTGCCCCCAACAATCTGGGTCCTCATTTTACCCACCTTGGAAGGATGGAAGGCTGAGTCAACCTTGAGCCTGGTGAGATTCGAACTGACAAATTGCAGTCAGCCAGCAGTCAGCAGAAGTAGCCTGCAGTACTGCATTCTAACTACTGTACCACCATAGCTCAGTGGCCACTTAATGCTTAACTTCTAGTAATGTTTTTTTTTTAATGTACTATCAGTTTTGGTGTAGTGTTTAAGGGAACTGGATTAGAAACCAGGGGACTGGCTGACTTTAGGCCAGCCACTTCTTCCTCAATCCTGGGAAGGGGAAATGGCAAATCACTTTGAAAAATATTGCTGGAAAATTGCATAGAAATATCCAGGCAGTCACTACAGATCAAGACTGAGTTGAGGGAGGAAGGGGGGGGGGACAACAATTCGAAGGGCTTTTGATCCGTTCCCAAAACCTAAGACCTAAATGACTCTGGATACTTAAAACCACATCAAAATTAAGATTCCTCTTGGGTTCTCAACCAGGTCTTCCTGGCACTGAAAGTAGAGCAGGTGGTGTTCAGAAATTGGATCCTCCCTGAGCTACATGCACTTTACACCTAGTATTTCTTTGTTCTCTCTTTTTTGCACAGGATAAAAGATCTTTTTAATTTAATAATTGATGATTACTGAAGATCTATTAATCCTGAATATATTCTAACAGAGGAAGATTATCTGCACGGTTTGTATTGTGATTTGGCACAAAGGTTTTTCTGCATTTTAATGTAATGCAAACTATTGGGGATGCTTTATTGGCAAAGACTGGGGTAACTTGTTTTTTTTTGTAATTAATACATCCCATGACTATGAATAGGTAGAAATGCTTCGGAGAATCTGTATTGATTATTTGAGCTGGCACTTACTTCAGATTCGCTCACAGAGGGCTTCCACGCAATGTGCTCAAGCAGTTCTGCTCCAGTGCAGCTAAAGAGTCCATTAAAGGAAACAGTAAGCTTAAAAAGTCAGTGGCTTCCTGTAATAGAGATTCTTCCACACAGTGAGTTTCCCTTGGCACTATCCTAAATTACAGATGCTTAGACATATCAGAACCAGAGAAAGCGTATCCAGGAGTTCTCCAAGTACTCCTACCCAAATGATACCTATTGCCCAGATCATTGCACTGCCTACACAGCCCTACAAATGAAAGAGGATACAGCTCTGTAACTATGATGAGGGCGTTCCTCTTCTCAAAGGCATCATGGAAGTACACAATCCGTTCATGGTCCAACTGAGCTAAAATGCCAAGCTCACGACGGGCTGATTTTTTGGCTTTGGCCCGGCATGGGATGAACTTCGCAGCAAAAGCCAAGCCGCTGCTTTTCTGGGTCACTCGCCGCACATACGAGAAGGCTCCCCTAGAAAAACAGGACATCGTGAAACATCGGGCAACTATATTCCTTCTTGCTGTGCTTGTTTTGCTAAGCCGTGTCACTCTACTCTGGCTCCATGCCAATGAGGTGGAAGTTGAAGTGAAAAGATGGGGAAGTTGAGCAAAAGGTTACACTCAATTTAGATGGGGATTTGATACAGGAATGAAAAGCGTTGCTTAGAAGAGAACAAAATCCAGGTTATCCAGCCTTTACTAAGAAACTTCGGAAGGATTTCACATAAATATTTTTCTCTCCAATGTGTCATATTCATAAATTTGTCACACTGATTTACATTTTTAGAACGATTTGGAAAGAGGGGATTTGTTGGCACCCCCTAAGCTTTGGAGTCCTAGGCCAATGCCTACTCGGCCTTAGCCTAAACCTATCCCTATCTCCATCCCCATTAATAAAAGTCCCAACCCAAACCGTCCCTGTTGCTGCCTATCTTATCTTCCACGTTTTCTTCCCCTCTTTCTCTCACCTGTTGATCTCCTCGTGGACATCATAATAGTCAGCAAGGCGGCGGGCTGTGTGTGATTCTTCTTCTGCTCGTGCAGCATCTGAATCTGGTATGGCTGGAGATCAATAAGACATTGAAGTGGTAAAGGAAACATATGCAAGAGAGCTATCATCAGTTACTCTGCAGGTAAAACGAAGGTATCTCCACATACCTAATCATAATCTTTTAACAACCCTATAATCCCTTGCCGGGTGGAGTCTGGGCAACTGAAGGGAGCCAGCAGAGTGTTTAATGGCCAGATGCCTTTCCTGTCACCAATGCGGAGTTTTGTTCAGTAGATATATTCTCACTGTGCCCAGAGAGAGAAATATCTGCCTCTACCTAGGATCGAACTCACAGCCTTCTGTCTGTCTATTCTTGGGGTCCAGGGCTTCCCACGAACTAACATCTGCTCATACCTGCACGAACCACAAGTTCAGCCTTGCAAGACACTTCTCCAGCCAGGTTGCGTGCAGTACATGTGTAGACTCCATTGTCCTGCTCTGTTGTATTCAGCACAACTAAAGAGCATTCACTTTCCTCATATACGAAGCTCAGGTGGTTACTTTCCGTCAGCAGCAACTGATTCTGATGGAGATAGATTTGGGAGACAACCGACTTGTAAAAAGCAGTCTGGAAGACCAAACTCTTACATTGTTTTGCTTTGCTCTCACACATCTGCTGTTCTCTAGGGAGATGCAGGAAATGGGTTCCTTGAATCCCACTGTCTAAAGCAGGGCTGTCAAACTCGCAGCATCACACTGTCGTCATGTGACGTGTCACAACTTTTTCCTCTTCGCTAAACCAGGAGTGGGTGTGGCCAGCATGTGATGCATCTGGCCTGCAGGCTGCGAATTTGACACCCCTGATCTAAAGGCTTTCTCATCTTTTACTCATTGTTTCTTTCTTTATAAGACCAGGATTGTTTGGTTAATATATCATTATTCCCATTTCAGAGGAGAAGGGCATTAGAAGCCAACCAAATAACACTTCCTCTGTACTGGTGTTTTGATAAGTGGTGAAAATAGCTCAGCCTGGCTGTTAACATTAAAACGATGCCAATCCCCAAAAATCTGGAATGAACTAAGATGAATGCATATAAGATCATCTGGGAAGGAAAAAGGCCCTACTAGTTAACATAGAGGCATCATCAAGAACTTCTTAAAATCCGAGAACATTCTGCAGGTATTCTTAGCCCAAAATCTTCCCAAGATTGGACACATATTCACCTTATACCACATAATATCTGGAAGTGGTTTGCCTTCTACCACCACTGAAAACTGTGGTGTTTCACCTATTCCAACTTCAATATCTTCCATGATTGATTCAAAACGTGGTGCCTCTGGAAACAGAAAAACACATACTCAGTTGGAGCAGGGAGAAATTTGCAGAAAAGTTCTTACTCCTTTCCATGGAGAGTATTGTCCTGCAATGTGTGAAAGTTCAGGGCTTTACTAACCTACAGGATCAGAAATCTCTCATAGTTGATGACTCTGTATTTGAGACGTGAGTTTGTAGGGTATGCATACCATAACCCTACTTATGCATTACACAATATTTTGAAAAGCAGCCATCTCCTAATGACTTGATAAAAAAGGGCATGCGACAGTCTTCAGATGGAGTGAAGTGGGATGATCTTCCATACCTGCCAGCTCCATGCTGATGAAGCCATGATCATATCCATACTGGTTGCTCACCTCGCAGGTTATTTCCCCCACATCCCCCTTTCCCACCCGAAGGAATCGCAAAGTGTGCTGATCATCATCAGGCATGCTCATCTCACAGTTGGGATCACCATCTTTGAGCACCATGCCAGCCCTGGGAAGAAGAAGTAAAAAGAAGAGGGGTTTTTTTTAAAAAAAAATAGAAAGCAACTGTGTTCAATATGCATCCTGTTGTTCAACCACTCCCATAAGCAGTAGGCTTCCACCAATGTGCCTTATCGACAAATATCATCACTTGACTTTAAGCTCTGGAACCTATTTGTAACTTCTCCTTTCACATGTCCCAAAACATGCAGGGTTTCCAACCATCTTGGAAAGCCTGTCAAATTAATTTCACAACTAATTTGGTCCCTGGTCCTGGAGAAACACTGCACAATAGCTTCACAGCACTTCCCTGGAGCTGTAGGATCGACTTGCTTCCAATTGGCAGAAAGTCTTGCCTTATCCTGTCTCCTCTCCTTGGGATTCTACTCTCTGTCCAGAAGCCAAGAGGGCCACAGCGCCTTGACTGGGGGAATGTGGAACCCCATTTCTGCACCAAAAAGAGGAGTAGTGACAGTGGTGGGTTTTTCCCACTCCCTTTCCATAAAAAGCTAATGAAAGTGTAAAAACAGACGTTGGGTGTAACTAGCTCCACTTTTGGGCACTCCACCTTTGACTGGCTAAATAAAGTGCTGGCTACTAGGTAAAGGGGAAGACAAGGTGTGGGGGGACAGTTGCTAAGCATTGTACAGCAACCTCAAGTTGATAATTATACTAAGGTGGCAAACATCAATATGGAAGAGGCTTGAAGCTTTGTATGTATGAAAGCTCAGCAGTAAGAACACAATTCACAATTCTTCTATAATTTAAGACCATAAAAAGTACCTTTCCTTGGATCTTTGCAAAGATGCAAAACAGTTGTTCTGTCATCGCTAGCAGCTTCTGAGCCTCCTGCACACCTCAGCAGGGCAAGCGTGAAGTAGATTTAAAATACATTGGGTGGCTGACCTACCTTCTCCAAGTGACAGCAGCCTCAACATGGTTGAGAGTTATAGTGATGGAAGCCGGCTGTGCCTCTACTGCATACACCATATCTGGCTTGTCCAGGATTATAGGGGCCTCTGCCAGGTACGGACCTGGAAACACAACCCATCACACTAAGAGCCCCAGCACAGATCCAAAAAATTCTACACAATCACTGCAGGGAAAGATTTCATGTTTCTCAATTTGCTGAGGTAAATTTCCTTGAACTGTATATTAAATGAAGTTCCTCCTCAACACCACTTCCATAAACAGGTAGTCCTTGACTTACGACCACAATTGAGCCCAAAATTTCCATTATTAAGTGAGACGTTTGTCATATGAGTTTTGCCCCATTTTATGACATTTCTTGCCTCAGTTATTAAGTGAATCACTGCAGCTGGCAAGTTAGTAACCCTGTTGTTAAATGAATTTGCCTTCCCCATTGACTTTGCTTGTCAGGTTACAAACTCTGATCACATGACTGGGAACTCTGCAACCATCATAAATATGAACCAGTTGCCAAGCATCCAAATTTTGAACATGTGACCATGGGGATGCCGCAGTGGTCATAAGTGTGAAAACTGGTCATAAGTCATTTTTTTCAGTGTTGCTGTAACTTTGAACAGTCACTAAATGAACTGTTGCAAGTCGAGGGCTACCTGTATTTCCTTTTTCTTAGCCATTGGGCCTGAATCATCTTTCTTAGATCAGATTGTACCAAAGGTATCCTTGATAGCATCTCAACCAAATGTTGCAATGGGGAGATTTCTTTCAATTCTTATATAAAACTTGCATTGTATGAAGAATGTTCTTCACAACTTTTCCCAATATGAAAATTCCAGATGTTTTGGGGAAACTGGCTAGGAATTCTGGGAGGTGTAGTTCAACACATTTGAAGGGTACCACTTGGAACCTCTGGTTTTAGGAAAATGTTTTAAAAGGTCCGTTTGAAAAGCAATATATTTGTGACAGGATTTTAGAAACAATGGGCTACCACTAAAAAGCCCCAGTTTATAATGCTTACCACTCCTCTTGCTATTTTAATAGTCAGCTACCAATAGGAATACATTCCACAAATAGAAATAATTCACATCCACCTTCCTGGTTAGGAACGAAAACTTTCTATCTTGAAACAGACAATTGGACAATTGGATCCCAAGGGAAGCCCGACATAAATTATTTTATTGCTTATGGTGGTTACAGTTTTAGAGCCTCCAGTTACTAATAATTTTTCCTATAAAACCAAGGCTTTCGGAGTGGCAAGTATTCTCAAAAAATCTGGGTACTGTCATCAGCTTCATATTTCAACAAAAGAACAATGAGAAAGTTTCTCTGAAAAAGTCATTCGCCGTCTTTTGTATGAAATCCTGAGGTAACTGTGAATTCTTTTGAACTGGAATAACCACAGTCTAAAATAAAACGAAGAAGTAAGAACATACATTTTTCTTTGTTATAAATGCCTTTGATCCTCCTGATTCTAAAGAGACATTTATTGGGTGCTCTTTAGAGGGTCAGCCAAGCAGCTGATTCCTGAGGTCAAATTTCCCTCCTAGCCATCAATACATAATTTATCCTCAGTCATAATTCTGCCAACAGATGACATATCTTCCTTCTCCCAATTCTATTCTTGATCACTCTTTCCTTTCTCCTTTCTCTCCCACCATTTTGGCTCTCTTCCACAGACTCACTCTGGGGCAGAAAAGGAACAATTTCCTTTTGCTAAGTAGTCCCACTTTTTTTTAATCTTGAGCTTCCCTATTACTTCAGCATGGGTCATTGGATTGTTCTCTTTGGTTTCCTTTTTGAACTTGGACAGATTCCTGCCTCCGTATGGACTTTTTAAAGGTTGCACTGCTGGGAAAAGGGTGAGGATTTGAGAAAAGGACTAGAGATAAGAAAAGAGGTGGTTGAGGGTACTTGATATTTGTTCATTGCATTTTGTTAGCTCAGCTGTCTTTGCTTCTACGAGAAGGTGGGGTTTAAGTAGGGTTTTCCTCTCTAATGAAAAATATCCATTTCCTTGCCCTTTATTCTTTTGGTGCCTTACCATGATCAAGGAGCTGCACCGGTTCTGTGGGTGGAGAAGGCTTGCTGTTAGCCTTAGTCGTAGCTGTGAGTACACGGAACATATAGTAAATGTTTTTCTTTAGAGCCAGAATGGTGTGGCTGGTTTGTTGCAAGCCTGTAGTAACAACTGTCCAGTGACTGGACCCCAGGATCTGCTGCTGGAGAATATAGGTGACAGAGGCAGGGTCTAAGAAGGGAGGAAGGAAAATGCCAATGAGCTGTGACTCATAAGTGAGAGCATTCTGGACTAGTCCACAGGAACACACAAGACAGATTAACATTTTGTGAGTAGGAACCTGCCACAGTCTGCAATATGGCAGTCCATGAGAGAAACTATACAATGCATATTCTGTAGGGAATAGCGTTTCCCTTCCCCTAATCAGCACCCTTAGATCATTATGAACCCCAGCTTTTGGTAAAATAATGTTTATAATACAGACTATAAAGGTATATTTAGAAATATGTGAATACCTACTGAAATATTAGGATAGCTGAACAAGATTTCTGGTCATAAGATTTATTTGCCAGCCCTGCCCTTTCCTGTTACAAGCAGAACCTAAAAAAATAATGGGTAACTGCACAACAAAGTATGGAATAATTTAAATATTGCTGATGAACTTAATACAGGCCACAAAATTCATAACAAGGTAAGGAAGGCCTCCTGGATTAGTCCAATTGCTGTCTAGTGTGGAAAATTAAGACACCACCAATAGTCCAATCCATAAAGAATTTATCCGGTTCTCTTTCAAAACTGTCTAAATAGCTAATGGCAGTGAATTCCAGTTCAGCTATGCATTGTGTATAATAAGAGCTGTTGGTCCTAAAACTCCCTGCCATTCAGTTTTAATGGGAGATTCTCACTTCTATCATTCTGAAACAGGGGCAAAACTATCCACATATTTCATGCTTTTCCATGGTTTTCTTAAAATATGGGCATCATGTCTCCCTTAGACATCTGTCCTCTGAGAAGGACTTCAGCTGTGTGGGTCTTATGGAAGTAACTGAGGCATATCTTTGCTTGGTTATCTTGGCAAAGTTTCAGCTGGTTGGTCCTGAGGAAGTGAGTAGAGTCCACAGACAGTGAGCTTGGCCACTTGCTGCCACCATCTTGGCTGGTCAAGGCCTCCTGAGACATGGCATGTGGTTGGATGCAAGTATTGATTGATGCCTCTTTGGAAGAGGGGGTGGTTCTTCCTGACTTGAAGGAAGCAGTGGTGTGACCTTCCTTTGACCCAGCATTGGGTAACTTTCATCCAGTTTCCAGCCTTCCCTTTTTAGAGAAGGTTGTTGAGAGGCTGGTGGGCACTCACTCCAAAGAGGAAGATGATTTTCTAGATCCTTTTCAGTCAGGGATCAAGTCAGGTCATAGTACACTGTGATAGGATGACTGTTTGGATGACTTTGAGGAACTGGGGATGTGGGTGGTGCATAGATCTTAGCTCTGCTGTATAGCCTTGCTGCCTATCTCAAACCAAACTGTTTGTAGGTGATGAACAAACATAAACTCATGGTACATTTTTGGATCAGCTTATGAGGCTGGGAATGAGAGGTGCTGGTCTGTAGTTGTTCTCCTTTCTCTATAGTCATGCTCAGTTGATGTCGGTGGTGGGGAAATAACTAGGTCTGGATTCTAGCCATTAATCATTCTGTGTGCCGTTTCTTTTTGTATTTTTCCAGTTAAGTAAGGTGACAGGAACTTTATCTAATGCAGTGCTGCTATACATTAAAGGGGCAATGTTCTCTTGGCTGCCTTATTTTGCCTTAATCATTCTAAGCAGGGAGTTTGCCCTTTTCTTAAAGCATCCTTACACAAGGCAAACATTTTCTACTCTGATTCCCAGAATCCTTTTCCTGATCAATCAGAGACAGTTCACATTCCCATTAATATATCCAGGAAGTTTGATTTATTTATTTTTCTTCCCATCAGTATCTATCCCTTGACACTTCTTTACATTGAACTCTTTTTGTTATTTTGATGGGCATTTCTCAAGTTCAGAAAAATCCTTCAGACATTGCTTGCAGTCCTGCTTTGATGTTTACTAAATGGTTTTGTTTCATTAGCAAACTTTAACTGCTGCGCTACTCACTTCTAATTTCAGATTATTTCTGAGCAAATTATATAGTTACCAACATATACCCTGGGAGGACCCCACCAGTTCTTGTAAGCCATGACTGCTGCTGAATCTGATAAGGAGCCCTTGATGATGAACCTTATCAAAAGCTTTTTGTAAGCCCAAATTCCCAGGATCTATTGGATCTCCCTTGCCCATAAATTTCTCGAAAGGCTCATGTCCAGCAAAGTCATATCAGCACTGGGTGGTTTTTGCTCTCCAAAATAACAATAGCACTTAAGACTTATATACTGCTTAACAGTGCTTTATAGCCTTCTCAAAGCAGTTTGCAGAGTCAGCCTATTGCCCCCAACAATCTGGGCCCTCATTTTACCCACCTCGGAAGGATGGAAGGCTGAGTCAACTGTGAGCCTGGTGGGATTTGATCTGCCAAACTGCTGGCAGCCACTGATCAGCAGAAGTAGCCTGCAGTACTACATTCTAACCACTTTGTCACTGTGGCTCTTTCATCATGCCTTCTGAAAGATAAAATCTTGTTAATAGTCTCTAATTAACAACATTTTACCTTGCAGAAGACATGATTTTGGAGAGCAAAAACTACTCGGTGCTGATATGGACATAATTGCCAATTTTATGCTGCTGAGTAGTGTCCTTTCCCTATCAGCAGGACCCAGGTTGAGTAGGATGCAAAACACACCTCAATGGCAGCTATCAATTAGAGGGGACCTTTGTCACAAAGAACACCACAGATTGTGCAAACAAGTGCTCAGGAACAACCCTTAGTTTCCTCAGCACGTGTATTGGCCGGCCTTTGAAAATCCAATAGACTCCAGAACAGTAGAATCTGGGAGTAAAAATTTTCTTTGCATCCCTGTAGCCTTCCTATCCTTGCCTACCAATAGCTGAATCCAGCCACTTTGGCGCGTTCCAATTCAGTGCGACACCTCTGCCAGTGACAGCTGCTATGGTGGGTGGACCATCAGGAGGTGTGGGTACCACATCTATAAAAGAAAAACACAGGGAAAGGGGGAAAATAGTGCTTTACTTTCTAAGCAGAATTATCTCTGATCTTCCCCCCTTTCAGCAGCTATATCAAGAATTCTGTTGTTTTATTGTTAAGTCTAACAATAACTAACTATTTACTGTGCCCAAGAACTGCATATTAGGTTATTTTCTACACCTACGAAACAAGGAATAGAGAATTAGACAGAATCTCATGTGCTATAGGAAGACAATCTCTGCTAGGGTTACAGACCTCTGGCAGGAAGACAAGTCTTCCTTTTTATCCTCATGCCCTCCATCCAGCAGGCATAGCCTTAAAACCAAATAGGTGTAGCCTAGCACACCTGGAATGCTTAAGCAGAATCTTGTCCAAAATGAATAGAAACGTCTTCCCATGTCCCACCTTGTTTCCTTACCCGTGACATAGAGGTGTGCATAGCAGGTGGCTTTGCCCACTTTGTTGGCAATAACACTTTTATACACTCCAGCGTGGGCATGACTGACAGAGTTGAAGACTAAACGGTGTACATCCTTATCTGCAAAGAGGAAAGAAAGATGGAGAGGCGAAGGGTGGGAAAAGGACACAGAATGAGATAATAATATTTGTTGGGAGTTGGGCACCAATATTTTAGGAGCAGGCAACCAACGTAACAGATATAGAGAGACTGTAGGAAAATACTGCTGAAGAAATAGTATGGAGAATACAACAGGCAAGCTGGCAAGAAAGGAGTATTTCCAGAGCTATTTTAAGAGCATTCTTCCTTACAAATTTGGAAGGTGAACCATAGAGTCAGATGATAACAGAGCTGTGAGTTAAGTGACTCTGCCAGTTATCCCTCACCCAATCCTGAAGCAAATTGTAGCAATAAGAAACTCAGGCAATGAATTTTGAATGCCATGAATAGGAGCAAAATAAGGACACTTCCACAGTCATAAACACTTCAATTCTTCATCCCTCAAAAGTAGCTGTAGTCATTTTCATTGTGGCCAGTTCTTGATATTTCAAAACACCATTAATATTCAATATTCCCCCCAACTGACCAATCAGAGAATACCATTCATCAGACCTCCAATCCACTCCCATCTGTTTTTATTTTCTGTTCTGTACAGTTTGGTTTGAGTTTGGGAGTCACTAGCCAACATGTACAAAGCTCACTAGAATTTCCCTTCCTATTAGTAGGAAATGCTGCATATGACTGAGATGTAACTGAGATTGACAATCTAGACCAGTGTTTTTCCACTTTGGCAACTTGACGATGCATGGACTTCAACTCCCAGAATTCCCTGGTACAATTTTAATGTAGTGAGTGGCATTTTGGTAAAATAGTAAATTTCTATTAGAAGAAAAACCATAGCATATGCAAGACTGTGATCAATGTGGAAAGCTAGAGGACTAAGTGTTAAATAATTAATTAATCAATTAATCAATGAACTAGAAGGAAGGAAAATAGATATTTGTTATATCTGTGAAATAAGAGAAATGAGAAGGAAGTAATAGATATGAATGAATCAATATGAATCTTGTAAATTGGAGCTAATGGTTATATATGGAGGAAAGTTAAGGCATGTGTTATGAATGAAGGAACTAAATTATATCAGGTGATATGAATTGATATCACCTAATATTGAGGATATGCATATAAAAATAGGAATTCATAGGTTAGGGCCATGATGGTGAACCTATGGCATGCGTGCCAGAAGTGGCACACAGAGCCATCTCTCCAGGCACGCCAGCTGTCACCTGTTGCTCTTTTGGGATCTGCGTGAGCTGGTCTTCATGCATGTGGGAGTGCTAGAAACCGGAAGAGCAGCTCCCCGGCAATCATGCGCATTCCAGGAAGCTGAACTTCCAGCACGCACATGCACACTGGCCATCTGGTCTTCGTGCATGCATGAGAGCCAGAAACTGAAAGACCAGGTGGCTGACACATATGCGTTCACCGGAAACTGGAAGCTCAGCTTCCCGGCACACACATGCATGCACACTCCCGTTTCGGCACTTGGTGCTGAAAAGTTTCGCCAATACTGGGTTTGGGATTAATGGTTTGTTAAACTCCAGTGAACAGTGATAATTAAAGGTGTGCAGTATTTAGATCCAAGAAGGTCAGGTTGATTTGAATCTAGTGTGGACACCCTAGCTGCAATTGGATTCTTTAAAGGAGTCAAGTCTTTCACTTGGTTTACAAAGGAACCACATGGGATCAGGAACATATATTTGAATTAAGGAACCGATGACAAGATGGTAACTGTCATGACCTCTTTACTGCCTTCTAACTCAGACAGTGACCTTGGCAAGTACTCAGAGATATGTTGAGACTATCACAGAAGCCAGTTGCAAAAGTCACTGAAGGAGAACCCCAGCTCCTGAATTCTGCATGCAATCTGGTCCAGCACCAGCGTTTTGTCAAAGGCCATCCATGTCCACGCAGAATTGGATCAAGTGTCACGCTCCTCAAATTTGCCTGCAATCCCTCTAAGGGATACAAACCAGTAGTGGGATTAAAAAAAAATTATCACTGATTTTGTGGCCATGTCTTGGTGGGTGTGTCTTGGCTTGGTGGGCTTGGCTTGGTGGGCATGGCAGGGGAAGGATACTTAAAATCTCCATTCCCTCCCCACTCGTGGGGAAGGTTGCTGCAACATCCCATTCCCTCCCACCCCACTAACCTGCTTTCCAGATCCATTCTCCTGTGCAGGGCAACAAAAGAAGATCCAGCCAAACAGCTGGGACTCAGGAGGCAGAGAATAGATGGGGGTGGGGTCAGTCAGAGGTGATATTTGCCGGTTCTCCAAACTACTCAAAATTTCCGCTGCCGGTTCTCCAGAACTGGTCAGAACCTGCTGAATACCCACCTCTGATACAAACTCACAGTTTGAGGATCAGAAGCAAGAATATACACAAAAGTTACAGGAGTATTACTTTATGAAGTATGCTTAGGAAAGTGTTTGGTGAAATTGTGTTTGAAAAGGTATAAGAGGTGACAATGTGAAAATCTAGGAAGTGGAATGAGGCTTTATGCCAGGCAAGAAATGTGCAGACTCTATTTTTTATTGTTCAGCAAATCATAGATAAATAAATAGAGGAATGTGTGGGGAAAAATTATTTTGCATTTGTTAATTTGGAGAAAGACTATGATAAAGTAAATATGGACATGAATATGGCCTGTACAAATATGGAGTTGATGATGGGATGCTATTTGTGGTAAATGGAAATATAGCATATACAGTAAATCGAATATTTAGTGCAGGGGTCTTCAAATTTGACAAGCTTTAAGACTTGTGGACTTCAACTCCCAGAATTCCTCCTCCAGACATGTTAACTCAGGAATTCTGGGAATTGAAGTCCACATGTCTTAAACTTGCCAAGTTTGAAGACCCTTGATTTAGTGAATAGATCAATACTGAGCAGGAAATAAAACTTAGCTGTTTGTCACCCTTTGGTTATTTAATGGATTTATGAATGATTGTTTAAGAACAACTTAGGATGTCATTAGAGATGTCTTGGTTGGGGATGTGAAGCTATGCGTATTTTTGGATGCAAGTGATACCATGTGGATGGCTAAGAACTCAAATGATTTGCGGTGAATGGTAAGTAAATTGTATGATGCAGCAAAGAATATGGCTCTGAAAATTAATATAACAAATAACAAGGAAACTATGTTGACAGGAAAGTGGAATAAATAATTTGCAAATGACAGCTAAATGGCAATATATTAAGTAAGTAGATGTAAGTTATATTTCAATAGGAGGAGGTTAAAACAAGAATAGTACAATTAAAATTTAAAAGGTAGGGGGAGGGCCTTCAATGTATTAACCAATCCCAAGGTTGCATTATGTCAAAAGAAGCAAAAAATGGCTATTTTTGATAACTTGTTTCTGCCCATTTGTAAGGGAGTAGGGCAGTGATGGCTAACCTTTTCGTCGTTCCATGCCAAAAGTGCCCGTGTGCCTGCACCCATAATGCAATGCATGCACGACCCCTGTGTGCCCCTGAAAACGCATGCGTGACTCCCTCATGCTCACCCCTCCCTCCTGCACATGCACGTACAAATCCCCATGAGTTCCCCATGCCTCTGTGCATGTATGCACATCTCCTGCGTGTGCCCCATCTCCCATGCATGCATGGCAGATATCCGACAATCAGCTGGCTGGCAGGAGGCACGCACACACACGCAGTGAACCTGATCTGGGGCAATGGCTTGCATGCCAGCAGAGATGGCTCTGCGTGCCACTTCTGGCACATGTGCCGTAGGTTCACCATCACAGGAGTAGGGTGTCTTAGAAAAAACATAAATGTAAATTGAATGCAGGGGAAATGGGTGCTGAGAACTGTGTATGTGTGGAAGAAGAAGGGGACAGAGTCAAGAATTCCAGTGAGTATGGAATACAGTTGAATGACTATATTTGGTATAACAGATAGAATGAATGAAGAGCAGAGGTATTCATGAATGATGGGTGAATGGGTCAAGAGGAAGAAGGCTGAGAAAGTTATAATTGGATAAAGCTGATGAGATCCTATAATAGGGAGAGGTTAGAAACTTAAAGTAAAAAAATCACCATATGAATTTGCAGAGGGAAGTATCTGTTCACTCAGTCCAGAGTACACATGAAAAAATGGTGGTATGAAGAAAGAAGCAACTGCTATATAAGCTTAATTGCTATCGCTACTGCTTGTTCATTCACACCCAACCAGCTGGCAAGGAAGCAAGCAGGCAGTAGAGCTCAGGGCTAATAATAGACAGAAAATCTGATGGCTATTTCTGACAAAGATGGCAGAGCCCTTGGGAAGTTACTTGCCCAAAGGCCTCCCCAAAACTTGGAACTGGCCCTATTCCGTATAGGAATTCCCACGGGTGCAAGAAACCTGCAGGATGGAACATACATTGTGTCATTCGACGGTCCTCTGAGCTCTCGATGCGTCGCCCATTGTGGAACCAGGTAATGGTTGGATAAGGAAGGCCAGCCACTTGACATTCTAGCACAGCTTCTTTGGATTCCACCACATCCAGATCATGCAGTGGCCGCAAGAAGTCCGGCATGGTGAAGCGTTCAACTTCACTCTCCCCTTGTTCTGGTTCTTCAGGGATCGATGGCATCTTCTCTAGTTTGGAACTGCAAGAGAAAGGAAGAAGGGAAATCCCTCAAATGCATCAACCAATCCAGCTACTGGGGGGCTTGCATATGTATCTTATTTATCTGTCACTTAAATATAAAAAACTTCTCAATGGTCCACAGCAATGGTACAGTCTATCTATGGAGGAAATGGTTCTCCATTCTGGGAGGCTTTTAAGAAGAGGTTAGATAGCCACTTCTTATGGCTGTTATTAATAGTTCCTTGACACTATAGAGTAGGAGCGTCAAGCTCAATTTCATTGAGGGCCGCATCAGAGTTGTGTTTGACCTTGGGGGCTGTGGTAGCCGTGGTCATGGTGGATGTGGCCAGCTCAGTGTCACTCAGGTTGGGGGCGCCTATGGTGGTCTGAGTGCTCTGTCAGCGAAAACGGGCTCCCAAGCTCTGTTTTCGGCTGAGATGGCCTCCTGCAATCCTCTGCCAGTGAAAATGGAGCTTGGGAGGACCACACACAGCCCTCTCCAGGGTCTGCTTTCACTGGCAGAGGCCCTGCGGGCCGGGCTTTTGTTGTTTCCAGGGTGGTCCCACGGGCCAGATCTAAGCATCCCATGGGCCGTATCCAGCCCCCAGGCCTTGAGCTTGAGGGTTAGACAAGGCAATCCTTGTCTAGTGAAGGGTTCTGTTGCTGAAAGAGGAACTTCAGGTAACAAAAAAAAAACCTTTTTGTGAGATGAACTATCTTTATTTAACAGTATAGGCCTACAATGCTTAAAATCTTTCACTCTGAGGCCTACTTCCCTTTTTGGTTCACCTTCTTGGATAAGAGTGATCATGCCACAGATTTCCAACTCTGTGGCTTCACGTACAGGTGTAATGTTCCTTTCCCCTTTTGAGCAAAGAGAAAGCCACCTCCTATGGACAAGCCAAAACTATGCCTCAGAGAAACAAACATGGGAAAGGCAAATATCTATTTCTAAAATACATCACATCAAAAAAAGAAGAAAAAACACAGGAAAATCTGTTGCAAATATTCCCCAAGGAGAAAAAGTATGAACAGAAAAGAAATTAAAAGACTTCATGGTTAATGGAAACTCAAGCAATCCCAAAGGGACTGGGTACGAGCAAGTAACTGTGGGTTATGATATTATTTCATGGAAAATATGCTGGATCAATCCTGTCTTTTAAATGGAGTATAAAGGCCTGGCTTTTTTCTCAACCTCTGGGTTAGATGCAGGATGTGTGTTTTGTTGCCTATGCTGATTCCCTGGTTATCACCTTTTTTTTCATTTGTTTTGTTATATTGTAAGTTTTTAATTTGTATGCTGTCCAGAATTACTGTGGATTGGGTAGCTCTATAAATATGATTTATGAACAAATGCATTTTATCCTGTTTGACTATGCGGGGATGGAATAGGAACATGAATCCACAACTGCTTTGTATGCAATTTGCATTGCTTTATATGCAATTTGTATGCAATTTGTATGTATGCAATGTATGCATAAAGATATGCAGAATTGCATGAAAAACCAACCAGGTTTGGGATTATGTATTAATGTATATTAGGAGATTTATAAGAAAATCTTTAAGTGTTAAAAGATGGTAATGTAACATTGAATTCTGTACCATGGCTGTGGAATTCGTTTATCAAAAATTGTCGTTATATTGAGCATGGAAGGGGGATGATGGCAAAAATAATTATATTAAGAAATTGGAAAAGTAATATTATTCTAGATGTCAAGCAATGGTTGTAGGAACTGTATCATCCTCTGTTTTGGAAACCGCAACATTGCCTACCAAAGGATGCAGCAATATGTAATATTATGACAGGAATTTTGTCATATCTTACCATAATATCTTTTCCTTCTCAGTTTGTCTCTTTAACTTTTAAATTTTTTAAAAGTTTTTTGTACAGATATTGTTTACAAAAAACAAAGAAAAACCAAGCAGATAGAATCAGTGTTGATGTTCCTCTCAAACAACTCTTTAAAAAAGGGGAAATATAGTATTTTAAGATAGGAAAAATTAGTCTACACCTCCATATTTTCCTGGAGCAATAGATAACATATAGCTAGTGAAGCTATATGTTTCAATGGCCATAGGAGAATCTTCAGTTGCACTCAGTAATATATAACAGGGTCATATAACCAGAATGATTTTAGATTGTTGTCCACATTGGAAAGGGGAACTGTTGTCAATCAAAAACATTTATTTTTAATACAAGATAAGGGGGATTGCCCAGCCAGATTAATTTTTTGATAGAAAACCTTTGTTTTTAAGCAGTGGCAAGGACGTTCTTGGAGAACTGATTCACTCTTTGGGGCTCTTTTTATATTACATGTAATTGGTTCAATTGGCCTTAATAGAAAATGTCTCTATTTTGTCTTGATAATGTCCCTGGCCTCAAGCAAGCTAATTATAGTTTGCTGATGCATCAGAAGTTCTGTGCTTTGAAGCATCTATAAAATCTGGAACTGGAAAACAGGAAGGGAATCCTCTGAGAAAGCTTGTAAAACCCACATGCAAAACTGGTTCCCACAGTACGATCTGTCTGTCTGGGGGTTTATGTGTGCATTTAAAAGCTACACACAGTATTTTAAGGCAAGCATCTATGCCATGTTGAAGTCTGTCTTCTAGAATTGGACATGAGACTGCATTAATCAAAACGGTAGCCAAATCTGATTCCCAGATTTGAGTACAAAATGATTCCCAGATTTAAAAATTCTGTTTTCAAGAGTTGCTGTTAATTCTCTTATGGGCATGAAGATAAGGAAAAAGTCCATCGTTGGTTTTATACCTGTCAAGACAGTAGCCTACTTTAACGCATGAGCCTTCCTGTGGGTTCACTGGAGAATGGAAAGGCAGAGTTGGAGCAAAAATATCACTGGGTCAAAATAGAAACCCAGTAAAACAGAGTACACTCATCTTTTACCTAAGAGGATTTAAAATTACCAAAGAGAGTTAGAGCCCCACAACTGGGAATCAAGTCATAAATGCATTGCCATAACTAAGGAGGCTTAGTTGACCTTCTGGCAATGTCATGGCTATACGGCATATTTAATTGCACATAAGTTTCTAGGATCTTCATTGGATGTTTCCATAACCAATCCCCTCTCAGCCCTTTTTCTTCCTCCCCCCTCCCTCTTCCTCCTCCACCTCCACCTCCCACTCACATCTGGGAGCTAGCTGCTGGCCGCGGCTCTTCCACATACAGCTCTGCAGTGCACTCAGCTCGGCCGTGCTTGTTGCTGGCACTCACCCCGTACTGACCCTCATCCTCGGATCTCACATGCAGGATGACCAGAGAGTGGAGTCCCCCATCTTGCTGTATACGCACGGCTTCTCCCTCTTGCACAGGCTGGCCTACATCAGACACATGACAGTCAGAGTCTGACCCAAAAGGGAGTAGAAGACACAAACGGGTACCAATTAAATATAAAAGTTAAAATCTAGCATTCAGGGCCCATGGGGCTGATAATAAAATAGAGCCCTCTAGGTCTTGGACCATAATTAAGACCACTGGCAGAATACAGTGAAAAGAATCTTCTTGTTCCCTTTCCATAATCTTGAGGGGATAGAGAGAGAGATTAAAACTTTTTGGCATGGCAGCAACCATATTTTTCCTGCAACTACTGTCAGTCAGCAACTGAACATGTTCTCATTACCAACTGGTAGATTAGCAGGTCACTTACCACCCCAGAATAGAGGCCAAGCTCTGCTGAGAAATGGTTATGCCGAAAGGCCACTGCAAAGAAACATGTTAACAGTGAAGGGAAGGCTGCAAGAAGTGAATATTGGTAGTGTGGAGATTTTTGACTGCAGGAGATTTTGGTGGGATTTGGGTTCAATGATGTCTGAAGCCAGGACAATGTTTCTCCCGAAATGGTTCATAACAGATACATTTGATCACTAGGAGACCAAATACTGATTTCTGATGAGGCAGCTTATTGCAAGTCTGGCTGCAGATGTTCCCACAACCTTTTGAAAGAGAATAAGATTTAGATTCTGCAGCCTTCTGCCTCTTCACCACCAAGCCTGATCCAAGTAAATGGACAACAATCCATGTACCCTCCCTCCGTAGCCATGTTGTCTGATCTTAGAACATCTTGCAAGCCAGGGCCTCTGAACTGCAGGGGGTGGGGTGTGGGAATTACCAAAGTGGGTCCAAACGATGGTTGGTGGGGGATCCCCACTGATCTTGCAGTCAAGCCGTGCTGTTCGTCCCTCCACCACAGCCACAGTTTCCAGTTTGCGGGTGAAAAGGGGATGGCATGAAGGCCACACTGTTAGCTTGGCACTGCAGGTCAGCTCATCTGCAAAGCACAGTGGACAGTCAGCAAAGGATGCTCAGGAATTTGTCTTTTCCTTGCCTTTAAAAGCTTGGGAATCTAGAAAGACTATAGGGCAAGGAAAGCAGCTTGCTATGCAGTTGGCTTTTTCCTGGTCTTGAGTTATATGAATAAGCCTGGAAAGATATTAGGGAGAAAAAAAAGAGCCAGTTTGGTGGAGTGGCGATGGTGGTGGCTTAGAAACCAGAAGACAATGAGTTTTAGTTCCATATTAGGCATGAAAGCCAGCTGGGTAACTTTGGGCCAGTCATTCTCTCTCAGTCCAACTCACCTCACAGGGTTTGTTGTGGAGAAAAAGAAAAAGAGGAAGGAATATTATGTGTGTTACCTGCAAATGAATACTTCAGCTTCAATCATAACAATACAAGAGCAAACAATAGATACAAACTCAAGGTTAACTTAACCTGCACCAAACTTGACTGCAGAAAATACGACTTCAGCAACAGAGTGGTCAATGTCTGGAATACTCTACCTGACTCTGTGGTTTCTTCCCCAAACCCCCAAAACTTTAACCTTAGACTGTCTACTATTGACCTCACCTTCTTCCTAAGAGGCCTGTAGGGGGCGTGCATAAGTGCACCAACATGCCTACCATCCCTGTCCTATTGTTTCTTTTTATTTTTCTTATAAGTATCTATCTCATGTATTCAAAACTATGTTTTTTCTTTTACCTGTATCTTGTAAGCGATTGACAAATCAAATAAATACTAAAAAAAAATGTTCATCCCCTTGCATTATTTGTAAAAAATATGAAAGGCAAGGTTTTTTTATTTTAAAAATAACCTCTCTGAAAGACAAGAATATCCAGAAAATGAAATTAAATTGCTTTTATTCTTTCTGTACTCTTCTTAAATGTTGTTCTTGCCTCTGAATCCCAAATTCTTCTTGGAAAGGGAACTCTAGACATTGGCATTTGGCTATGGATCAACTCTTGTACTTTAAATTACACTTTTGCTGATACATGAAATGAAATATCTGATAAATGTTGGCATGGCAGATTGTTAGTGAGGCCAGATCAGAACTAATTTCACGGCAAACCTGCTTGGAGCATTTCTCCCAATTCAGAGCAACCCTGCTTCCATTCCTACAGAAACAGAATCCATTCATCCGGTTGTATAGACAGACATAAAGTTTGCCAGATCCCTTCCAGCTTTCTGCTTTACAAGATTTTCCCCCTCAGTCTGGGAGTCAAATGTAAATAACGTGTAAATTTTCTCCCTCAAAGAAGCTTGCAGCTACCACTACCAAAGCAAACTTGTTTATTTAAATAATTTCATAATATTACTTCAACGAGTAATCCCTAACTCAATTTATGTATACCTAGGGTGGTCTGCATAAAAGAATGTTACAATAAAAATCAAACTGCTATAAAGCTGCCATAGCTTGTCACAAAGATGAAGGAACTTTAAAATAGAGTTTTTAGTATTTGCCCCCCCCCCTTTTTTTTTCTCATGCTACTATATTGATCCAATAATCTGTGAAACATATTTGACCGGGACAAATTCAGATCAAAACCATGGAATGTAGTATCTTTTTCAAACCATTTTGAATTTTCTTTAAAATCTACAAACTCCCTTCAATGTGAAAAGCTCTGGATGCAATCAGATCTCTGCAATGCATTAAGCAGCTACAGAGGATCCTAAGAAGTAACTTAGATCCTAATTTTGGGGTGGGGTGGGGTATTTTGTTTTATTATTGATCAGAACTTTTGCGTGCATGTGCCAGGTGTCAGACTACAAGACAAGTTTTTCAGTGGTGAACTGACCTCCATGTTTATGGACACCTCTCCTTCCCAAAGGAATATACATCTGATTCCAGTCTTGTTTTCAATCTGTTTGATTGTTTGGTGCATTTTATTCGGGCTGTTTAGCTAAGCTACATGTTTAATTCAAGACCTTACGTATTCTGTGTGCATGTACATTTTATTATACTTGATTGTAAGTTGTCTTATGATGATTTCGGCTTCTAAAAAGCAGAATAATATTTTTTAAAAAAAAAATAGAAATAAGCAAGAGTGTAAAATTGTTTCCAAATAACGTTCTTTCACTCCAACTTTTTCCAATGAAATAAAAAGTTGCCAGAAAAATACGCTTAGAGCTCTAGTACATAAACTTCTAATCATGATGTTTTGTCTTCTTGTTTCCCAACTGATTTACTGCCCAGAAGGAGATATACCTAGATAGAGGGAAGGAAGTTGGCATCTTGCATAAGTAGATGTGTTGGTTTTTAGCTATATTTGGGCACGGGTGCATCAGAAGACCAAAATACAGTCAGAAAAAAACTCTAGATTCTGATAATGGCAGCACCTGATTGGTTTTAGCTATTTAAAAAACCCCAGACAATATTATATCTGGATAGGAGACCACTCATGGAAATCTCATGGTTGTGAACCAGAATGGGAAGTTGATGAAACATCTGGAAGAAGGGGGCATTCCACACTGATAAAACTATAGATGTGCTCATGGAATCACTAGGACTTAAGCACAACTCAAAAGGGATATTGCTTTACCTTCAGTGTAAGCCAGTGAACGACAAAAGCCAAATGATTTCCTCTGCAAACATGAGCTCCGGAATTTAGCCTCAGAAATAATCATCTAAACATCAATTGATAAATTTAGTTCTGGCTGTGGGAATCGTTTTACTTTTCTCAGTTCAATGCCTTATTCATTGTGTAAACAAACGTCAAGGACTCTCTGTATCACAAAGATGAAGAATGTAGGGCTTTTCAGCAGTTGCTAAGCTGTTCCCAGCTCCAATTCCCCGTCTTTGCGGTACAACCTTTCACAATGTACCCCGTCCACATCCATCAAACCGCAGCTCACATATTGTTATGCACGAAGGATGAAATTATTGTCCAGCATGACTGGAGGGGATGTGGTTCTTTACCAAATTGCTCTGCATCTTTCCTAAATCTGCTGATTTGAGCCTCTCTCTTTGCCCGATCTCACAAGCTAATTCTTCTCTCCAACCCCTGGCACAGAGACAGGCTACTGATTGGCATTCCAAAAGTGATGTGTGTATTTGTGGGCGGGTGTTTTAAACCATCACTGTTGCCACCCAGGAGTAAGCTTGACAGAAAGGGGAGAGAAACAAACCAGCTGGGCTTGTCCTTGTACTTTTAATGGGGATTTGAAGTGGAAAAATCAGCATTAACACATTTTAAAAATAAAATTAAAAAGCAGGGATTTATCAGACAGATGGAAAAGACAGGTTTAGTGACTAGATGAGAAGTTAGCATCTCAACCCCCCCAAGTGTTCTTATCTATAGCTTAATTTAGGGACAGGATTAAGATCTCAAAGTTACAAAGTTACTCTTGGGGTTTTGCTTAATATGTGAATACAATCACTGATCGGTAAACTATGATTTGTGACTTACGAGTACGCACTGAAGAGGCATAACTTGTTACATTTGTTGTGTCAACCCAGTCAATTATGGCATAACAAATCAAGATTAAGTCAATGGTTGGCTTAGTTCAGTGTGTGAACCCTGATCCTTCCTCCTAGGTCTTCTTCACCTCTGCTTGTACAGCATTTCTACCCTCCTTACCTTTAGTTGTGCTTAACTTGCATGTGTAGATACCACTATCGTCTTCATGCACAGAGGTAAGCAGCAGCTTGCACTTGCGCCCGTCAAAATGCATCTTGCACTGGAGCAGGGCAGGCTGCAGAAGGCGCCCCCGCCACAGCCAGTCCACATCCACATCCGGTGGGCCAGAAACCAGGCATTCGAAGATCGCTGCATCCCCAGCCCCCACCACCACATCCTGCAGCGGGGTCAACACTGCCAGGGAGTGTGTCTCAGGGTGCACTGGGAAGGAGGGAAAAGGAAGAGGAAATGGAAAAAAGAGAGAAAGAGATGCGTCTCTGAGCAATGGAAAAAAACGGGGACAGGATGCAAAGAATAAGGTGTGGAAAGCATGCAATGGGTATTTTATGGTTAAATTAAATTGCCATGTTGCTACAACCTTTTTGATTTGCGAAGTTAAGGCTTGGGTTATCCTACCCTAGCTGGCAACTGTTAGCACACTGCTCCCATAAAGAAGTTAAATGCAAACTTGAGTGTCGTAATTATTCTCTGGCTTCAGCTGCAGATATTCACTTGCCCCATTTCCAGGCATTCTGAATGTCTGTCCTTCAAAATCACAAGGGAGACAGAAATCTTATGATCCTGCATTCTCCCAAGGCAGGGAAAATAACTGCCATTCCCCCCCTCCTTTTGGAGATGATCTTAGATCAGGGGTGTCAAATTTGAGTTCATTGAGGGACACATCAAGGTTGTTTTTGACCTTGGGGGCCAGGGTGGGCATGGACAGGGTGAACAGCTCAACATCACTCGTGTCGGGAGCACCTGTAATGGCCTGAGTGAAAACGGGCTCCAAAGCTGTTTCGGCTGCGACGGCCTCCTGCAACTGTCTTGCCAGCAAAGACGGAGCTGGAGAGTGCTGCCTGCCAAACGGTCTCCTGCAACCATCTGCCAGCGAACATGGAGCCTGAGAGGACCGCACACAGCCCTTCCCAGCTCCTTCGTAAGCCGATCCTTCTGTTTCCAGGGCAGCCCCGCGGGCCAGATGTAAGCACCCTACAGACCGGATCTGGCCCCCGGGCCTTGAGTTTGACACCCCTGCCTTAGATGTTCAAATTGCAAAGGAACGGGAAGTTTGTGTAACCTACAGGCCCTTTTTCTTCCTATATCTTAAATATTAAAGCTACCATTCCATTCTGTGGTTGAACAGAAAAATCTAACTATTATATAGGAGCCTTGCATGTTGGCTCAATAGCTAAGTCTACCTCACAAAAGGAAAACATTATCAAGTTTTCCAGTGAAGCCTTTCCTGAGCCAAGAGGAAATGGCTAACTTACACATTTCAAAACTGGAAAGTTTAGAGCAAAATAGAGCAATATTATATCTGTTTATGTACTCTGTTTTCAATATGTTAAATGCTATAAACAAGGCTCATTTTCCTTTCTACAAATGAACAGATTGTACAGCTGTGGAAAAGCAGCACCGTTATTTATTTGGATCAATATTTCTATCCCGCACTTCAGATGCAAACAGACCAATTAATGGCTTTCTCCTAGTATAGCTAGCAACTCATTGACCACTGCAACAGAACATGAATGGAGACAAAGGAGTCATAATCCTAAGCAAACTCAATCTGAATGGGAAACCATGATGGGGTATGGAGAACACAAGAGCATGATATGGTATAGGAAGGGGACATGGGGAAAAGGGAAACGAGGATCTGTGCTAAGAACAAACCACACCGTACTTTTACCAAACAAACAGACTTTATTTCATCTACAAAAAGAGGATTCTCTACAGCCCAGCTCCTGTGAGATACTCCCAGAGTGGGAGTAGAATGATGGTAAGAGACAGCATCCTTGGCCTTCACTGAAGATGCTGGAGACCAAAGTCTAGTGGCCTCCCAGTATTTCCAAAACCCCTCACCATTCTACACAGTCCTGGGCAAAGGGGTCTTTCCTGGTCACTTTATGTTTCCCAGAGGCCGTGGTTGGATAAAAATATTGAACTAAGTGGCCTTCTAACTGAGAGGTCTTGGATGTCCAGATGTGGCCTGTTCATTTCAAAGTTACCTCATTTTAATGTGTTGGCTCCATGGATGAGCAGAAGCCTTTTGAGAGAGACCAGCAAGGAGAGGACAAGCTAGCATTCTGCTCTAAGCCCCCAGGAAGAGGTTTGGGCAAAGGCAGAGGAGGCAAAGAGACATGGACACATGAAGGAAACAGCACCACACACTGGCTACCGTGTAGGCCAGACAGCAGTGAAGGCCAGAATGAGCACTGCACACCATCAGCACCTGCATGGGGAATGCCTGGTACATAGGCATGCTGTCCACTTCTGAGATTCTGTGCCTAGCACAGAACATATGGAGATCCATCTGGATAGAAAGGTTCCTGCTCAAACTCTAAGGAGGTGCCACAGATTAAGTCAGCTTATGTAACTATAGGGAGCTCAGAACTGCTCAGACAGCTAAAGGGAGTTCCCAACTACTTTCCCACCCGTTGTGTCCCATTCCCCTAGCTGCAACCAGGCTCTGTGTCCAAGGTGAGTCTCAGCGCTGGCCATCCAGAAGCCAAGCCTTGGCAGCCTGGTTTGTTCAGTCGTGCCGGGAGCAGAGGCAACTGCCCAGGTTGTCTGGCTAGAGTGGCCCGGGGGCCAGGAGTACCTTAGCTCACTCTCCCTGTACAGACAAAAACACAGTCAGCAAGCGAAGGATTAGTGTAGCATGATGGACATAAAAGCAAAGCACAGACAAATTCATACATGCTCGATCTAAGCAAAAGATGTTCACCACAGCACAAATACATTTGTAGATACTGGCTGACAAAAGCAAATGAGTCAACACAAAGCAGTTGCACACATAAACTCTCAACCTATCTCACAGTTATCATCTTGTTCATAAAAATCAACCCCAATTGGGCAGAACACCCGATTCCCTTTCTGCTATCTTGGGAAACATTTCGTCATCTAGAAATTTTCTGCAGGTCCAAATAGTGGGTCCAGTGAGCACTTTTGCTCAAGTACTTGTAAGGGAGCCTGTTTCTATTTTCCCAAGAGTGATGCAATGAATCAAAGTAAAGGGCTAACTGTTACTTAGCAAAAGAAGGCAGCAAGAAAGTGGGTTAAAATAGACCAGGGATATCTTCAAAGGGTAGCAGCTGACTTAATGCAGAAGCAGTTATAATTTATTTATATTTCTACCCCACATTTTTAATTTGGTTAATGACCGCAAAATGGAAATAATGCAAACACTAAATTTTCTTAATTGCTGGAACAATGCGGATCCAGCTCCTTCCTAAACCAAATATGGGATCGGGCAACTGAAAACAACCTTTTTTTACTAGAAGCTACAAGAAGAGACAGACCTATGATAGCTACGCATCACCCAATTTGGGACTCCCGGCTCCCATGCATGATGGAAGATGATGCTTTATGAGAAGGATCGAAACATACTTAAGCACCTAATTCCTAGTGAGTATTTACTGGAAGGAAAGAGGCAAACCTGGCACCCACGATTTAAATAACAATAAATAAGTTGAACAGGGAAAAAAAACCTGCTAAATTGTGGGAAAATATGGTGGGGATATGAAGTCAGACCGTTTATTATGTACCCCACTTCTTGTTGCAGGTGGAACTCACCGGTGGCTGATGTAGAAGGCATCACCAAAACTGGCAATCATAGCAATGTAGTTACAGTACATTAGAGAAAGCCAGTTTGGTGTAGAAGTTAAGGCACCAAGCTAAAACTGGGAGATTATGAGTTCTAGTCCTGCCTTAGGCTTGAAGCCATTTGATGACTTGGGATCAGTTACTCTCTCTCAGCCCTAGGAAGCCAGCAATGGCCAACTACTCCCGAAATCTTGCCATAAAACTGCAGGGATTATCCAGGCAGTTTCCAGAAGTAAAAAAAACTGACTCGAAGGCACATACCCAAATGTTACATTACATATGTAACATACATAGAAATCGACCTATGAATAAAGTAATTCTTACTTCAAATTTCCCTTTTGGTAGCAAGCACAAAGTCTTATGGAAAAAAAAGAGAGAAGCTAGTACCTCTTGGACTTCCAAACGCCTTATGAGGATGACCCTGACCAATCTTCAAGGCTGTGGTGAAGATTGTCAAAGGCTATTCTATCAAAGACCCTGAATATTCAAAGCTGTTTCATAAATGCAATTAATTTTGTACTTCTGAGTGTTTTCTTTTTTTCATGTGTTCCCCATCTTTGCCCATCAAGATGGCTTTAGCCAATGGCCATAAAGCAGCTACTGGCAGCTAGAGAGATAGTACCAAGATTATGAGCAAACTGCAAGCATGTCCACATCAGGGGAGCAGGATGGTTGATGAGTGGAAGGAAGAAGCAAACATGCAGGTGGGACCTCTTAGATCATCACATGACTGGCAAAGCATTATTGTAATTCTCATGCGCTGGAATGCCCAAAAATACCTTGTATATCAAGTTTGGCTTCACATTGTCTGGTGCCATATTCATTTATGGCCTTACAGGCATAATAGCCAGCATCTGTGCATTCCACCATGCGGATATAGAGGCAGAATGATCCGTCCTCTTCTTCCACAGCAGAAATGCGCCGTCCATATTTTACTGGATGCCTGTTCTTCAACCTACAGTTCAGAACAGAAAGTCTGAAAGTCTGCATTGCTACACATTTCACCCATCTTCCATAGATAATTTGTACCCTTGTTTCTCTACCACTGCATGCCCCAGAAAAATACTGCATATTCTAGTTCTGCCATTACCCCTGTTCTGTTACATTTTTTTCTTATACTTGATTCAGGGCAGTCCAAGCCAGGAGGATAGACATTCATTTCTTTCCATTTCTTCTAGCCAACTTAATACACCTCAGATCTGACACCAATATTTTTAAAACAGGGATAGGGTACCATTTGTGCCCCATCTGATAGCAGTCCAACTTCACGTATTTCCAGAAGCACAAAACATTCATACCCTTTCCATCTACTTACTGCATCTCACAAACACAGACCAAAAGAAACGGACTTCATTATGCTTCCATTTTAAGCAACGATGGAAAATTGGTGGCTTCTTTGGTAGGGTGAAGTGGGAATAAAACAGATCAGATACCTGCATTTCTGCTGTTGCTCGCAGTGGAAATGCAACAAATTTGAATGCTAAATGTCTTTTTTGTGGCATTTTAGCACCATTGCTGAATTTTATTAGCAACAGGGATCCACGGTTACACTTTCTCAGGCATTATACCTGTTCTAAATCTTTTTCCCTTTTGCATTTCCACCATGCAGATATAAATTAACCTTTCCCATTTTGATTTAGTGCCTTCTGGAAATGAAAAACCAATAATGCAATTCTACAAACCTTTTAAAATATCATGTCAACTGACACATTATATAACGGTTGATTACTTGTGGAACATTGATGGATAAGATGGGAGAGGGAAAAATATATAAAGGCTTGCTTGGCTAAATGCCTGAAGGCAGTTGTTATTTTGCAAGATTGGAGCAACTCCCATCGCTGCCATCTTAACTATTAAGAATAGTGTCTGGAAGACAAGGTAGGAATACTTTTAAAATCATATTGAAACATATAACCCACTTACCAATGGACAATGGGTTTGGGCTCTCCTTGCACCCGAATACGCAGGACCACATCTTGTCCTTCCAGTACCGTCTGGTCACTTAGTGCTATCTACAAAAAAGATCAGCCAGGATCATGACAATTGACAAGGGGACTTCAAAAACTTATTCCCTTCTGTCTTTCTTCGGGAATATAAGAGGCTATAGCTTGTTCCTTGCCACATGCAGCAAAAAGACCTAGATCCTACTCTGCTCACATTCCAGAGGTATATTGCTTAAACCCTTGGACCTACCTATCCAGATAGGTCAAAACTGCCAGCTTCTTTTCTTTACTCTCATGTCATTCTCTCGCCTCACCTCAAAACATGGTGCAGCCTTGAAGTTAATGTCTGTGTGTGCTGCTGCGGTTGGGCCAATCTCGGAGCAGGGTTGCACTCTCATAACAGGATGATGCTGAGGGGTGACCGACTCAGGGAACTCTTCCAAAGGGCTCAGGTACTCTTCATCTGAGGTGACAGGGCTGCTGACTTCACGGCGGGGCATCAATCGACTGTGGATCTCTGCGGGAGCTGGACAACCAGAAGAACGTAACAGTACAGATTGGGCAGAGCCCAGCAAAGTGGGAGAAAGGAGAAAACAGAGCCAAGCTAACAGCAGGCAACTGAGTCAGCCACGTATAACAAGCAAAATCTAACTTCTTAAATGACATCCCACAGTATTATCCCCACCACCACCATCCCCCAGTTCTGAGAATTAAGGTATCTGTCTGCCTTATTTTATTTTATGACTTAATTTAACTGAATCTTGGGATTTATGAGGATTGTATTTTATGATTATGATCATGACATACCAATTGTTGCTTGTATGTATACTGCGAGCTTATGCACCAGAGGCAAATTACTTATATGTCCAATCACACTTGGCCAATGAAAAATTATATTTTAAAGAATTATATTACTAAAACTTGAAAACATGGACAAAACAAATGAGGGACTATTTGTCTGCCTGGACTCTTTCTGAAGTAACTAGAGTAATAAGTTCCCACATAACAACAGGAATTCATCATATCACGGATGATTACTTGCTTATAACATCTTCAAAGATTAATCAAAAAGGGCAAACTTCTTCCTCTTTCTTAAATTACTACCCTTCACAATGATAACAATACCTTTCCTGGGTTAATGCTCCCCAGTTTGGCAGAAAATTATACCAGAATGAAATTTGCTGCACTTTTTGCTAATCTGTATCTTGCCACTACTACTTCTGTCTCAAGGCACTGCGATCACCCAACTTCTCTCCATGAATAAAGGATTTTGCATAGTTTCTAAGGCAGTGCTGGAGTAAGGAGGGAAGTGCTATTGAGCTTCAATACAGCTAAGGACCACTTAAAACCCATCTCATTTATAAACCTGTGGATTTCAAGAGCGTATCAAGGGGGCATGGCAAGGAAAAAAATATGTTGATATGTAAGATTTATGCCATTATTCAGTGCAAGTGAGGAAAGCCCATAGTCCCACACAGGATCAGGTTCTTCAAAAATGTATTTTTCTTGAAACATAAGAAAATTAAGGCATAATCTGCTCAGATCTCACACAATGTCTTATCATATAAAAAGTAAAATTATGTGTCCTCCATAATTCCCTATTTTACTATGTGAGACACAATTATATTTTCAACTCTTCCCATGTTAATTTCCCTACTTGACTATTACCAGAGAATGGTGATGGAGAGAAAGTCAGGAAGGCAGCCACAGTATAATATAACAATCCCTCTTAACACAAACATTGGCCTGAAGAGCCTAAGCTAGATTGGCTTTGTTGCTTTTACTTTATCCCTTTTCCAGGATATTAGACGCCAGTTTTCTGCCTCTATTCAAGCCCAATGGCAATATTTCCTTTTCTTTGCTCTGAACTATTCCACTGGGTTTTAGGATGCAGTTAGGTATGCTGTAAGAAAAATGCCCACCTTCAAGCATCCCCACAGGCCATTGTACTGGTACTACCACAAAAAACAATACCTTAACAAGACTATTTTCATTTCTAGTAAAAGAAATCTAATGGTTGACGTGAAGCAGAACAACAAAATCAGAAACGTTATACGATATGCAATCCTCCCAAAATCTGGATACTTCATAGTTGAGAGGCTCACATGTTGAAATGCTACCCCACTAGAAAAGTAATCCTACCCATGTATGTACAAAAATTTTATTTCAGAGGAAAAGCTAATGCTAAACAGTCTCTCCTAAATATACCAGCATTTCACAAACAGGTAGGGTTTTTTGCTAGAATATGGCAGTACATTTAAACATGTCATTTTCTCCATGTAGATCCTTAAGTGATTATTCAAACATTTCCTAGTAAGACCTTTGTCTGGAGTGATGAAGACCTTATGCAGATTTCATCCACATCGCTTCAAATTTATTATTTTTTTTTGTAAATAAATTCAAACTCTCATCCAATTACTGAAAGGTCAGAGTGCTAGTTAACAATCAGGAAGTCTCCTCAACAAGTCAAGGTTCCTCAATCAGACCTAATTTAGTCAGCAGCTATGAGGACTACCAAGTATTGGGAGAAATACCAATGTCCTAAATTCCCCCAAGCAATGTATTCAGGGAAGTGCACAATACTATTGTCCATTTTTACACATCACTTCAGATTTCACACCAGCAGAGTTGACTCACATTCAGTAACCATTTGCAGCCAACTTCAAGGACATGGCAATAAGTAGTTTTTTAAAAGATCTTTTTATCTTGCCTTTATTAGTTTTTATGAATAACTTATGGCAGCAAACATATCTAATACTTATCCTCCTGCTATTTCCACAATATTATAAAATGTTGGGCTGAAAGAGAGGGACAGGCCCAAGGTCAGATGGCTTTCAGGCCTAAGGCAGGATTAGAACTCACTGGGCCCTGGTTTCTAGGCCAGCACCTTAATCATAACACCAAACTGGTTTTATTTTTTACTGCATACAAAATAAACAAGATATCAGCTTATGTAAAGTATAGGAATGAAATATGCGCATATGTCTGGAGAGAGGCATCAGAAGATTTAAATCATAAACCCTGCCTTTTTTATTGTATTTTAGCTATTATTTTCTCAACCCAGAAGGGCAACATCCACAACAGTTCCTTATCTAGCCATAGTTCAGGCCTTGTTGATGTCAGTCCTTATGCATGGGTATAAAATCAGAAACAGCTTCTAATGTAAATCTGATGTGGCTAAAACATCATGTGAAAATGTCATCCTTTCAAGAGCTACCTGCATGAATTAATCAACAAAATCTAATATGATCAAATTACGATTTGGCATAAAGCAGCAGACCTTTAGAACAAATGCATAAAATTATGTAATCCTCTGAATTATAGAACCTATTTGCGGTAAGGCCTTCACTGTGCAAGGAACAATGTAAGCGCTGTCAACAACACCTTCTGGTAAAATATTTCAAAAGATACTACAGCCAACGCTTTCAGAGGGTTTCATTATTCATGGCTGGGTGGCAGAAGGAATTACAGCCAAACCATATCAGCAAAGAAAAAGATATCAGCCAAGAATAGGGCACTCCAATCTTGGGTACTAACATTATCTGTTCATATTGGCAGCAGCATTTTTTGGCATGCTGTCCCTGAAAAGGACCAAGGTGACATTAATAGTTTGGACAATGAAAGCTTGTACTGCACTGGTAGAGCAGAGGGGGATAGTTCTGATGAAGAACTTGATGGGAGAATCCAGCATAACAGATATAGTTGGGAGCATCATATCAGGAGAAAGCAGAGTATTGTGATACTTCATGGCAATACTATCCAAAGCTGCCCTATAAAAACAATAGGGAATTATTTAAAAAAATATTATTTATAGGGATAGAGGAACAGGGAGGAGCAATATACTGATTCTACCTAAGATCCAAAGACTATATGACTGCTTCTCAACTCTTCATTAAAACTGAGTAGAAATCTGAGTATTTTCCTCAGAGGATTACCCCCTTGCAACTTGGAGAAGCTGTGCTGTAATTTCCTTCTTCCCCAACTCATCACAAGTAAAAAAGATTGGACTGCAAATCTCTCACAGTTTGATGTACCCCAGCAGCAAGTGAAGATAATCAGTTCACAAAGCATACTAAACCCTATACCTGAGATTTAAAAAAAAGAAACCATTTCATCTAATATGCCTTGCCCACAGAAAGGATATCTTGGCTTAACATGACAGCCATGTTTAAACAACAATATACTAAGGTATATTGCATCAAACTGTAACTATGTTGTGTTCTATATATACTGCCTTATTATTGAAGGCTTTGGAAATTCATTGCGGTGGTTTTTTGCTTTTTGGATATGCGTTTAGCTACTACACATTCCTTCCCCTTAGTCCAGATGAATACAAAGGTGTACTGAAAACAAAACAGACTTTCCTTCGGTGCTTCCCGCGATTTCCTAAATCCACTTTCAGTGAATAAATCCCAACTCCAAATTAAGCTCACGACTGCAACGCTATGCAAACATACCTGAAGTTAAACGTCATTTAACCCAGCGGGCCTTACTTCTGTGCAAACGAGCACAGGATTGCGCTGCTGCAAGAGCATCGGAAAGAGACGGCGCGTCCCTCCTGCGCCGCAAGTGCCGGCAGCAAGCGGACCTCTCGCAGACATCGCCGGTTGTGCGCTCGCTTTGAAATGAATCCCCGTTACGAGCTGAAGCCCCGGTTTTCTTTATAGGCGATCTCCGCCACGAGGAGAGAAACGAATCCGGCTAACGGGGTGGAGGAGAGGCGCCCGAGCCGGGCCAGCAGCCAGCGCGCAACTCCTTCCCTTCGCTCCTCAGCCGAGGGCGGCGTCCGATCTTCAGACAACCAGCCCAGCCCCGCCGGTCCCCTTGCTCACATTTCAGACCAATCCATGGAGGGGCTGAATTGCATCCTTTCACAAAGTTTACTCGCACGTGCCCAGAAACCGCAACTCTCCGCCCCGAACTGTAGAATTGGCGGGCCAGGAGCGATAAAGACGTCAGGCCAAGAGGCAGCGATCCCCGCCCTTCCCAATCCCGCCACCTCTGCTCTGTTGGAGCCGGTCGTCTCTTCCTTCCCTCTTCAGAGCCTGCTGGCTGTTCGTCAGACAGCCTAGCCTAAACCGAGCCTTGTAGGGTAAAGGCAGCCTCATGCCTCGTTATTCAGCAGGAGCAGAAATGCTGGCCTAAGCGCTCCCCAACCAGGACACTGAGAAAACAAGCCTGACGCTGCTTCTCACATGCTGATGTGGGAATATGAACCTCTTAACTCCTCTGGCCTTAAGGCACCGGCCTGGCTGCAGCCTCCGGGGCAGTCTGGTTGCTCTGCCACCTCCCCCCCGCCTTTGCCCTTACCTGGCCGCACAGTTAAGATGGCGCTGCAGCAGGTCTCAGCCACCTCGTTGTTTGCACAGACAGTATAGAGGCCGGCATCAACCATGCGGGCACTCCTAACCAGCAGAGTGTGGCGTTCGCCTTCCGCTTTGATGGGACGAGCAGTGCTGCTCCGAAAGGGGATGCCATCTTTTCGCCAAGACACTGTAGAAAAGACCCATAGTGGATGGAGGTGTGGTATAAGTGTAATCTAAGAATTAGTCTGCATTTGTCAAACAGTTTTAATTGCCTAAGGCAGTGGTCTCCAATCTTGGCAACTTTTAAGACTTGTGGACTTCAATTCCCAGAATTCCTCAGCCAGCTTTGTTGGCTGGAGAATTCTGGGAGTTGTAGTCCACAAGTCTCAAAGTTTCCAAGGTTGGAGACCACTGGCCTAAGGAATTGTTGGTTATGAAATTGCACATCATTCTGCCTTCTCTGCATTTCATCAAGAGACAGTCGGTATGTGTTTATCTTCTGTCTTTTTGCTAGAACATTTCCATGTCTTCATGAAGGTGGTGTCAACAGAACATATAATTTTTGTTGAGGGCAACATGTAGACTTTGTGGAGGACTGTGGAAAGCTGAACTTGACTGAGGCAAGTGGAAAAGTAGGAATGATCAAAACGTAAAGTAGGGGTGCACAGAATATAAATCATGTTTTTAATCCATTTTTCATAAGTTGATTATGTTCCTCACCTCAACACATGTGATTCACTGCTGAGTTTAATTTTAATATATATCAACAACAGCAGTTCATTGCTAACAGATAAGTAACCCTTGCCACAGGTTTGGGTATGCACTTCTCTCAGCAGATTACTTTTTATAAGGATAGTGCTCTTTTGAAATAATAATTGTAATACATTTTCATTCTGAGGAAAAGCTAAGAGTGAAACCCAACAGACAAAGTCTATTTTCCATATGTAAGGTGAAGCAGGATGGGATGTACCTTGGAAGTAGCTCAGAAATGTAAGTAAAATAAAAATAAAATCAGAAAACTGAAAAACTTGGTGAGATCACCTTGAGCCGTGTTCCTAAGGACCTTTATCAATGCAAATTGGACAATATTATGTATATAAAAATAATGATTGAATTAATAGAGTGTTTCTTATACATGTGGAAATAGACAATGGTGGAAATAGACAACACAAGATAATTAGAGAGCTAGGAACAGATAGTCCTTCAACCTCCACAGATTCATAATTTGCTCTGTGTGCATTTACCTTGTGGAGAAGGGTTGCCTGTGACAATGCATTTGAACAGCACCTCAGTCCCAGCTATGACGACTGCATCATGGATTGGGATTTCAAAGATGGGAGCCTCCAGGGGATCTTCACCCGCTGAGGTGTAGGAATCATCAGAAGATTCTGCACAAGATGATGGAGAAACAGTGGTTACTAGAAGATTAGCAAGGAGGAGGGTTAAGAGTCTGCAGACAGATTTTGCACTCTGCTTGCATGAGGAATGTATTAAACCATAGCATCTTTTCACAATAAGGAAGATAAGGGACTGCTTCCAAAATAATTTCCTGAGGGAATCCTTATTTTGGCTGGCATAGATGCTCAAAGCCCTTAATCTCCTTCAGTATGTCTCCAGTTTTTGAATCATAATTCTTGATGGGATGCTACCCTGCTGTAACCACTAAGTCCCCCAAAGCAATAAAGCTGGCTTATCACATTCTAAGTTACATATCACTTTTTAATTAGGTGGAAAGGCATACGACTCATTTTTAGTAATATATATTAGTGTATAAAATAGAGTGGAAGGCAAAGAAAATCATTCAGTCTAGAAATATAGAATTACTGATAATATTGTTACCGCATTTCTTGAAGCCAATTCGCCTAATTTGGACAATATGCTTGGATATTGCTTCACAGTGGCAACCAATTTTATACCGCACAGCAGTGGTCCCCAGCCTTTGTGGCTTGGTGGCCCAGCTGTGGGGGAGAGAGAGGAACCGGGCTGCCTGAGTGGCGGGCTGGCATGCATATGCACAGTCCTTGTGTGAGTGGCAGGCCGGCGCACATGTGTGCAAGTGCCCACTAGCCCAGCACTTGTGCAAGTTGAGCAGGTCAACTACCCAATTCCAAATAGGTCACAGTCCAGTAGTGGGGACCCCTGCTTTACAGTCCTTTTTTTCCCTCCTGCTTTTGTTTCTAACCCTCCACACAATTGATGAGTTGTATTCTGATTCAGAACTCTTTAGTCTTCTTACCATTTGGAGCAGCGTTCAACAATTTCTACTGTATTCCTAAATCTGAATTATAATTAGCAATAACAGCGAATAACTAAAAGAACCTAGCAGGACACAAACGTTTTCATCTTCACTCACACAAGAAAATCAAGAGCCTTGGCAGCAAAACTCTCTTTTTAAAACAAATAGCTGAAGTGCAATTGGACTCATGCTTCACACAGGCAGCTAAAAACAAGGGAATATTGTTTAAGAGTTAAAATCTATATAGAGAACCCAAAAAGGTGGACAGATGGGAAAGTGAAAAAAATGAGGGAGGGAAGAGATGAGCACAAGTGTGACCTCAGCATTTACTAATTCTTTTCACAAGTGCATCCTAGGAACCTAGGATGCGATGACACCAAGGGCATCTTCATGTTGTGTGGGAAGATAAACCATGAGGAAAGCATTTCTGCCTGGCTTTGTCAGTTTCTTTCCCAATAGATCCACAAAACGTACTCTTATTCCCTACCTGGTTCTGGTGACATTTGTCGGGACCGTCGGCCTTTGCCTCTGCTTCGTGCACTCTTCCCTTCTTGAGGTTGCAATGTATTGTCCTTTTTTTCTAACACTTTCCCAATCTTTCTGTCGAATTCTCTACTTGTACCATGGATCCCTGCCTTGCTTCTATCTGGGCCAGTTTCTGTCTTGGTCCAGGATAGAGAATGTCCATCCTGCCCCAATTCCCATTTCCGGCCATGTGAGGCTTCATTTAGACCCTTTGATTCATAGCTGACTTTTGCTGCGTTCAGAGGGCCTTTATCCATGCCATCCTGGCTATTTAAAGCTGATACCAGCAGCAAGTTTTTCTGCCCCCCTGGAACAGCATGGGAGAGTAGACATTGCTCCACCTTGTGCCGCAGATCTTGACCATTCAGTTCCGGTTCCTTTTGACCTCTCTTCCGTTCTCCCATCTCCTCAGTCATGGCTGCATTCCTTGACAGAAACTTTTGGGGTTTTTTGGGTTCATCCCTGGGTCCCACTAATCCCACACTGGACAGAACCAGTTGCTGTACACCATGTGCATTTTCTGTAGCTGAGAAAACTTTCATTGGTTTAAGTTTCCGTGGTGGTGGAACCCTGGGGACAGATGACTCAATTGCAGTGGGTGACTTGAACAATTCTTGGGATCGCCGCAGCTGCTGTTGAGAGACAGTGCGTTTGATGCGCCCCAATTCTTCAGTGAACCTTTGTTCCAGGTCATGCACATGACTGGAGAAGCGGCCACGCTCATCCAAAGAGGCTGCTTTCTGATGGAAGATACGACGCCGAGAAAATACATCTCCAAATTCTGAACGAATATCCTCTTGAAGGTCTTCATGAGAGCCAGCTGAGAGGAAGGGACTGGCATCATCAAAACCAGCCTGGTCAAAAGAACGTGACTTGCGTAAGGGTTGCCATGTGTGGCCTACAAAAGGATTATCATTCTGTTCCAGGCTTTTCCTCCGCTCTTCAAAAAATTTGAGCTTGTCAACAATTTTGGAGCCTGATCTTGGCAGTTTGGGGGATGGGCGAAGGATGGACACACGGCTGGAAGCCTCACTCAGTGGTGTCTGGGGCCGTGACTCTCCTGTGCCAACCTGAGAGTAGCCAGATGATTTAGGGTGCTTCAACTTCTCATCAAATTCCTCAGATGCCGTGTCTTGGAACTCATTGGGCATCAAGAGTTTTCTGCGAGGAACCACAGGTGGTGTGGTACCATGGCTGGTTTCAGGTGGCTGGACTGGACATTGCCCTACTCGGGGGGTTACTGGGCGTTGGAGAATATCTGTGCTGGTTTTGCTGTTGCTGTTGGCATCATCCCTTCGATATCCACCATGGGGGAGGCTGCTGTGGTTGGAAAATAAGATAACATTTGCTAAGGGAGGAGATCCTGCAGAAATCAAGGGAAGTGAGCAAAAAGAATTAGATACTTATAGGAACAATGAACTGTGATTGTGAGGATCAGGGCTTGCAATGACATCTGAGTTCAAATTACCAAGGTGAAAGAGAAAAGGGGCAAGGAAATTGTCATTTCGTTGAGAAGAAAAACAGCTGTGACTATATCTTACCTGAATATATTAGCCTAAACTGAAATCTTAGTTCTATGAGAGTTTGTTTTTCCGCAGCTTTGGAGTCATTAAAATATTAAAATCTTGCAGTGCTTCAGATTCAGTTATGTATGTAAAGCTGATTTGGTGCATAGGAAGAAGTGAATTCAGCACTTGTCTGCAACTCTTTAAAAGAACTCTCTTTTCCTGACTTTTGTGATTCCAGAAAAAGATGCAGTAGGTTTAATAAACTGCAGGCCTGTACCTATACCCACATCTTTTTGGAAATGACTAACTAATACCGCACAGCCCTAATAAGTATGTACAAAAAGGGACACACTTATCTGACTTCTTCTATATCATGTATTTTAGCCAGCTATGTAAGTCTCCAAGGTCTATTCCTTCCACATCTAACATCCTGTAATTTGTATTAAATATTGATTGGCTATGCTTCCTAACCAAGTTTTTGTTCCCATTGAACAATATCATACTATGATTAATCCAGGGAGAATCCATCTCTCAATCTTATTTGGTAAATGTGATACATTCAGTTAGTATCCAAGCTTGAAGCAATATCTGTAAATCAGTTCAGTGGTGATATATCAAATTACTGGGGGTAAGGCTGGGTTGAGTTTTCTGGAAAGGGGAAATCCCTTGCACGGCCAGAAGGTCAACACATAGGACAATACATAGCTGCATCCTTTTCAAACATGTTTTTTCTTACAAGACACAATTAATTCAATGGTACATACAAACAGACATTCATTCCAATATCATCTTAAGCTGTTCCAAGAAATTCAGATATGCACACAAACAAGGACAATGGTTCATGTGTATATAATATCACAGCCTTTCCTTCACTTTGTTATAGCCAGCAGGTACTGTTGATGATAAGCATGAGGAAAATATGGGAAAAGCAACCTTATGGAAGGAAGAAGTGGTAAATAATGGAATCTTTAAGCAACACCCGTTCTTCTAGATATATAACTTAGTTCTTAGTTCTACTCACAATTAGACTCCAACTGTATTTTTACTGCTTTTTCAGTTTATCAGCTTTACTATCATTTTCAGAACCTACCAAATCTTATTTTTCATTTGTAAGAAAAAGAGCTGGCCACTTACTTTCTTGTTATAACAGAGTAATGAAGAATAAAATCTGTGGGCTGCGTATGCTAATAGCTCAGAGTTAAAGAGAATGTTGAGAAATTTGGCCATCTTAACAAACTCTTGATTTTACTTCCTTACCTTGCTACCTTTTCATTGAGGTCATCTGGAGCTTTATTTGTGCCATGGGGTCACCGATAAACCTCCAAGTGGCCTCAACAACTCTCAGAAAGAATGCTAATGACCAGATGACTGCAAGGAATATAAATCCTTTCATTCTCCTCCATTCAGTCAGAACTAAAGAAGCTTCTTGGATGAGAAGTGAAACAGTTTCCAGGAAAAACCAAGAAAGTCCAGTTGCCTTTTGAAAAAGTGTTTTTGTGCAATGTATATAGGAGGCTGGCCTGCTGTGACAGTCATAATTTGGGGAGCAAAAGTCATCCTAAATAGGAATTCCACGGGTAGGGAATGCCAACTCTTCTCCTACTGGTAGTTCTGTAAAATTCCATTTACTTCTTTCAAAGAAATGTTTCTTTATGCTTGATTTAAATATTCCATCCTTCCACACAGGGATCCATGTAAGCTGCGAACACATTATGTGGCTCATTTGATGCCAGCTGCCAAGCACAGGCAATTTGCTGCAAACTATCAAAAATCCAGGAAGCTAGTCACCCTTAGCCTTCTCCTGGTACTTCAGGAATATTTGTTTTTGTCCATTTTTGTGTTTGTAGGGAAGAGTAGTTACATGCTCAAAGCCAGAAAAGCTCATATCTCTCCACAGTGCAATGAGAAAAATGTCCCTGTGTATTTTTCTTACAAAGTTCTCTGTCTTTCCTTTCCCATCTCAATCCAAAAAGTGTCATCTCTGTTGAAGTGTGGCTTTGCCAGAAGGAAACATGGACTTATAATACTTTTTATATGCCCAAAATCAGCTGGATTGTGGAGTGTAAGAGCTTATGAATTCTATAAAATGATTTGATTGCTTTCTCTGATCTGGTATACATTTTCTAAAGATATTGCCAAGTTGAACACCTGAAAATAATAGGTGGCTAATGTTAGCAGATCAGTAGTTAAACACCCTTTGAGAATTCACTTATTTCTTTTTCTTGCATTATCCTATCTAAATTAACTTACGATCAACCCAATTTAAACATACATTCCACTGAAATGTGGGGTATTTAAATTTAAATTTCATATAAAATACATGTAACTTATGTGCCCTTAATATAGCCTAAGATACAAATTTATATTGCCTGCTTGTTCATGTGCAAAGATACCCAGGCATTTGTAGACTGAAATGACTCATCTAGTCATGACGATGTTTTTGTTAGCTCCCTCCACTATCATCAGCCATTTTAAGATTAAGGCAGTTTACCACGCTTGAATTCAAATCAGAATATAGCACCACAGTTTGATAGATATTTGTTATATATATATTTTCTTTGGATTTTTTTTTCCTTTTTAGTCTGAAATGTGAGGTTCAATGATAATAATGCAGGAACTAAACTACAAAAGCAAAGGAAGAGAGCCAGGATGGAACTGATAGGGGAGATGACAGGCTTGGGTGGTTAGGAATGGTAATACCTACCTCTGTAATTTGTGTGTGTGTGTGTGTGTTTCTCACAACCACAATCTTTAAGAGTGATAGCAGGACTGTAAGGGTAAAGAAAGAGACTGCAACAAAGGAGGCAGTAGCAGAATAAATGACATCAGAGTATAGGAGGCTTCAATGGGTTCAGAGTGCAGTCAGGGCTGTGAAAGGAAGGTGCTATAGAAGTGGGGGTGGGTGGGATTGGGGTTAAGATGAAGGGGCTCAGGAGGGATCTAGTGGCGCATAATTGGGGACTATGACTGGGGGTTAGGGAAAATGATGGTCCCAGCACAATGGCCCCTGCACCCCACTCCACGGCCCCGTGGCTACTTACACGTGCAGGGAGAGGGCACGGCCCCGGTACAGGCTGAAGGCACTGCCGTAGGGGTCGCTCCCCAGAGACAGGCTGTCCTCGGTCCCCGGGCCCACACCAATCAGCTCCGCCCGTGATGCCCGTACCAGCGGCTCCACCCCCAGGTGCCGGGCCTCGGCAGGTGCTTGCCTTGGAATGCTGGGGTGTAGATAAGGTCCTCTCGCTGGGGGCCCAGCCTCTGGATCCTTTTCCAATACTGTGGTCTGGCTCTCTGACCAGCTGGCCTGCTCATCTGGATGGGAAAGACCGGGCGCCGAGGTTGGCGTTGTCTTCATGGAGGCATCCACCAGCGTGTCCGACTCCCCTGCCGGAAAGACAGTCAAGACCTGATCAAAGGGGCTGGGAACTGCCTTTCCTCTGAGGAACAATGCAGCCTTGGGCTAAAATTGGGAAGCCCCCGGCAGTAAAATAAGTATTGTTTTAATGACTGAGAAACACTGATCTCAAAACAGAGGTGAGAGGAGCATGAAAGTATCTCAGGAAACGAAGTGCTGAGAACAACAGAGTAATAGCTGCACTGAAGGTTGGCTAGAGATCAGGAGGGAGGAAGCTCACCCAGAGCATTCAAGACATTCCAAACACCTCTGCATTTCTCCTCCCAACCCCCCACATTAATAGCTGTCAAGCCAAATTCCCCAACCTTTCCAGCTTTGCCGACTGGAACAGGGGGAGAGGAGATGATCCCATGCAAGCAGTCGGCGTAGGCGCCTGCCGCTAGTGCAAATGGAGTGCGTGTGCATTTGTTGGTTGGGTCTTCACACAAGTGGGGGATGCATGCATGTGCACATGCTTGCTCACCACTTCTGCAGCTCGCTTCCGAATGGCTCAAGCCCTCAGGCTAAGGGCTGGGGACCCCTGGTGTAAAGCGTTTATTGATATTTATGCTTTACGTATATTGTGCTGGCTGGGGAAATTATTTTTATATCAGTGCAGCTAATGATGATCTAAGCTGTTCCTTCGTGGATTGGCTGTGAAATAAGGACAACATTGTGGGAATAAAGGGGAGATGTGGTATTGGGAGGGCACACTTGTGTTGTGAACCCACTACTAGTTCACCTACTGAGAGTACCTTTCCAATATTATCTATTTTGGATAAGTACAGAGTTGAATTCAGCAGGGAGGAATCTTCAGTCCACATATAAATTAAACACCACTAGGCACTGAGGGTTATTTTGCTCAATACCCATGCTTTTAAATGACACAGAGATGATGAAAAGAACGGCTGGCCTCTCTTATAACGGATTAGGGCTCAGTAAAAAGAATATTGAGAAAGCATAGAAAATACCATCTTCAAAATATTTCAGGGGGACTGATCCAAAAAGAGGGAAGGATGGGATTTATCGATTAATTCATTTAGGAAATTCCATTATCATGGAGTTGCTACTGAGAACGTTTGCTTTATTTTGATCTTTGAGTGCATAACCAAAGGCATTTAAGACTTTAAAGAAACCAATCTATCATGCTGCATTAAAAAGCAGCAGGAAATGTGCTTACCAAAAGATATCCTTAGCAAGTCATTTCTGGACGACATCCTATAGAAATATGTGCTCTGGTTTCCAAATCTCAGAGCAAAGCCCTTATGCGATTTTATTTGTTAATGCTATCAGTGAGGGAACTCACTGTCTCTCTCACTTTCTCTCTTTTTCTTTCTCTCCATGACCAGCAAAACAAGAATTAAGGCTCCATTTCTTGGCTGTACTGACTTATTATGATAATTTGTTCATCTGCTGTATATATTTATTTTTCTACTGTTTTGAAGTGTTTTCATTGTTTTAAAATTGTTCACCACCCAGAATTCCCGAGTTGAGCTTGGCAACAATAGAAAAATAATTGAATAATTAGCACAGCAAAATAATAACAGCAGAAAGAGTCCCTGAAGATGTTTTGGGGATGCACAATTTTGAATTTCTGAGTATAGATAAGAACATAGATAAGGGTAAAGAGGACTATTTCTACAATAGAATATTTGTTCGTCTAGACCATGATTTCTCCTCCATTGGCAATAGCTTTCCAGAATCTCAGGTAGAAATTCTCTTCCATTCTTTGGTATTTAATCCTTTTGAATGTAAATGTTAGGAAGTGAAAGGGGAATCTTTTCCATGCAATAACACATTCAGTTACTGGCTGTGGTCCTTCTCGTTGATGAAAGTCACAACAGTTGCTCATTTGCATTGTTTACTTGTGTGTTATACTGTATATCATCTCTCTTTATCAGAACAGTTTGATGCCTGATGCTTGATTTTCCAGTTTTTGAAAACCGCAAAGTCTGTAGGGACAGTACTGTTACTTTCCTTAAAATAATGAATAGCTCATTCACCCAATTGTATGGATATACAGTATCTAGGAGAACACTGAATTGGCAGCTAAATTTAATAACTGACTTGGTGGTCTCACCCCTTGATAATAAACCAGATTCTATCTATGTAACCATGTCCCTTAAAATGGCATGCTGGAGCAGGTCAGAAATGTGTATGGTCTAAAGATAATATTTTCCAATAGATTACAATCCAAATTTTCTCAAAACCCACAAGCAGATCGTGTTCATTTTATTTCCCATGAACTTACATAATTCCTTTTTTCATAATTAAAAACTCCCTATATCAATATTACTTCCTTCTATCAATCCTAAAATCTCCATTGGATGATTCTGGGTTTTTCCATATTATAAAAATGAGGGGGAAAAAATTATCAAATCACATTTCAAAAAGTTCTTCACCTTTCAAACCATCAAAGAGACTGCCTTAATTAATTCACAAAAAGGGGGAGTGGGAAATTTATCTTCATTTTCAGCATTTTGTACTTATCCCAGATTAGCATTAAAGATACTTTTCTGAAATTGATATTGTTCCTGCTTCCTTGATCTTGCTCAACCCTGTGGGGTCTGACAATTGGCTTAATTCAAAATTGAAGTCTGATTAAAAGCAAATTCCTCACTGGAATGTGTAATTATCTTTCTAATGCTCTTTCTCCTTGTCATTCTGGAGAGGATGTTTCAGAGGTATATGAAATAAAGAGTATTCTGCAGGGAATGCAAAGAAGCTATGATCTTTCCCTTTGATTTCTGAAGGAAATCCATAAATGTTGTTATAAAATCACTTTATGTATTAAACTTCTGTGTTGGTCAGTTTGCCTTGGCTCTGAGAGAAGATGCTGTCTCACAGGGAAGCAGTAACTCTCATTGGTGACCAGCAAGAGGCTGAACAGAGGCCCATGATCAAAGAAACTTGGATACTATAGATAAAAGTAGGCCAGAATAAAATGGTTTTCATATCCTTTTTGCCTGTGGTGGACAAGTCAAATAAGTATGGTTTCTCTGTATAGACACTGTGTAGCCTGTAATTTATATTTAAGGTTCCATCTCCCTGGAGTTCAAGAAAATGATTCTAGACAAGAAATGGAAATTTGGGTGGAGACCATAGATTCCTAGAGCTGCATACAGAACTGTAAACTTGATTTTTTTGTATGATTGTAACCAACAAAAATAAGCGTCAGTGTCTCACTTCATTTTCACATCAAAACTGTGGTGCAGTTCATAAGGGAACAATAACAGGAAAGTTGCAGGCTGGAATTGTCGTGGCATTGTGTGGCAGGCACCCTGGGACATCAGCACAAATTTCCTCAAGTGGCTCAGATATACTGTGAGTTCTGCTCACAACTCCCTGTCTGGCTTCTGCTCACCTGTAGGGGAGCTGTAGGTTGTCTCATCCTGGAGATGGCTGCGTTGGGTCACCTGTGTACTGCTGGCATCATCTTCTCCCGGCTCCGAGTCTAAGCAAGAGAAAGTACAAGGTGAATAGAGGACCCTGCTAGAAAAGTTGGTACATGTCTTTATCCTGTGTGCTTAATCAGATTTATCAGAACTAGATAAAACTGCTATAAAGAGAGTCCACGTGATTCAGATGTCCTTGATAAGATTTTGAAAGTCCAGCTTTTAGCACTTTGAAAAATGAGAGGAAAAGACAAATTTCTAATCTACATATAATATATAGGACAAACATTAATTTGAAAGATCCAAGCATCTGCTGGCAAATCACAATTCTTAGATTTCATAACACTTTTTTGCTTCATTTAAATAATTGATTTAGGATTTGAATGGTAACAGTCTTCAGGAAGCCAGCTTTTGATTAGGGTGGCATACAGAACTTTTAATATAAATTAGATAGGCATACATATTCATATACACATGATACCCCCACATGAACATATGACATATAACATAAACAAGCATGGAATAAAAGACAAAAATTCTTTCTTGTTTAGATGGGAAAACTGCATCAAATATATCATTTTCAGAAAGCATATGATATTTAAGTTGTGTAAAAGTCTGTATTAAATAAGCAAGCATGAATACCTGAAGATAGATAAATATACAGAAATAAATATAAGGACAGATAGATGGAGATGATTGCAAAGTGATTCCCCCCCCCCCCCCCCCCTTTTACAGTGTACTGCCAATGATAAAAGCTCTTTTGGTGGCAAGTTTCCTTCTTAGTTGTTCTAGGATTAATGTTAAATTATCCCATAATTTCTCATCTTAATTCTGCTCAGAAATTCTGATATCAATTCACAAGCAAGCTCAACTAAAACTGTTTTGGGATCTAGTGGGCCTAGCTGAAATGTTGGCAGCAAAGATGTCTGCTTTTATAAAAGAATGTCTAGGTAAATATTGGGAAGCTGACAGAAATGTCAAAACGTATGGCATATGTTCAATTAAGAATTAGCAGTCCACATTAATTGAATTAAATTGTCTCCTTTATTGATTTTATGTAGGACAGACACATTTTCAAGACCAATTATACATAATCATTTTTCATTATTATAAATGAACTTTCATATTATTTATTTTGAGTGTCTTTTCTATTTTCTCCGAGAGTTTTAATGAAGTATTGAGTAGCAACAGAAAGTTGTTCTGGGAAACAAACCCACCCACCCCATTTAAAATACTGCCAGATAGCTTAAAATTCAGGATCTGATTTGGAAAGTTCAAAACTGCCTCCAGAAAGGTTTGGGGTTTTTTTTAGAAAGGAAAAAAATGGCATCATTTCCCATTTGTAAAGGTTCCATGTCTGCTTCCCTCGTCAGATGATCTATCTTAATGAGGGAAAGATAGAATAGGTGCAATACTTTTGGAATGCTAGTGGCAGGATCTTTTCATCTCAATGAACCCTACCAGGGGTTGACTGTGCTCTTTTCACTGTGGCATTCCCACTTTAATTTTAAATGCGCCCATTTTGAAACATGTTGATGAACAACCAGCTGGCATTCTCCATAAACAGGGAAATGGGTTTAGAGCACGAATGGTGGACTTACTCTCAACAACTTGCCCCTCTACCAGGAGCTTTGCATCTCAGGGAGCAACTAGGGAGCGAAACTAGAAAATTAAACTGCAAAGGGTACAGGGGTCCTCTCTCCTTGGCAAGTATCCTCAGAAGACAGTGTGTGATGTGCATCTCCTGCAGAACTCCAAAACAGCGTATGCAAGGGTGGGACTCTGCCGGTTCGGACCTGTTTGGGCAAACCCCTTGTTCTGATTATCAGCTGGCTCCGAACCAGTTCGCTGTGATGAGCATGTGGGCCCGCCCGCCAAGCCCCTGCTCTTTCCTGTCCTTTATTGCCTTGGCTTAGAGCACAGCTGATTTGTGTGGCAGAGTGGTTTGCCGTGCCTCAGCTCTTTTCTTCATGGAGGCTGCAGTTGAAGGTAAGCATGGGCTTTTTAAAAATGTAGAGCGTGCGATCACCGAACCAGTTGTTATACCGGTGGAATCCCACCCCTGAGCGTAGGCACATTTCACAAAAATTCAAAAACCCCAAACAGGTTAAAGCAACAGGAAGGAAGTTTTTAGAAAAAAAAAAAATCTCTAGCAAGAGAAGGCTTAGTCATTCCCTTTCTTCCTGCCTCTGTTCAGATCCAAATCATTACCTTTTCAAGGTTTTTCACAAGGTCAGAGCTACTGTGGTCCAGATTAGATATTGTATAACATTTCACTTCTGGAATGAACTGATTCAGAGGACCAGTGGATGATTTAAAAGGCAGCTTTCCCTGCTATTTTTCAGTTCAGGTCCACACCAAAGTGCTCACCTCCATATCAGAGGATCCAGAAAAATAAGGGCCATACACTTTTTCCATACAATGATTTTTGGGTTTCTTTTGTTTCGGGGATAGGAAAATAAGGAGCAGGAATTGGATGAAGTGCTCTCCTACCAATTTTCCTCCAATTCATTGAATCTTTTGTGATTTTTTTTTTCAATTGCATAAAAAAGTCAGAGGAAAATGACCTGGAACATATAGCTTGCTCTTTAGACAAGTAGCAATTTCAGAAAACATAAGGCCATAAGAAACCCTGATAGGTCTGGTCAACAATCAGTCTAGCCCAGCATGCTGTGTCACATTCTGCAGTCCACCAAATGAACAACGGGAAGCTCACAAAGAAGCAGAGGAAGGGAGTAGCTGTCCTCCACTGTTCTTTATGATATGACACGATTAGCAAGGTGAAAGAGTGTATTTGTCATTTTATTTTCCATTTCCGTAAGAATCTCAGACATGGAATTTGCAGTTTTTTTCAGAAGCTATGGGCCACATTTTCACTGACCTGATTCTGGGATCCCTTTCTTGATCAGGGCATGTTGGTTATATTAATATATGTATACGTGGAAAATAATTTGGGAGGTGGGGTAACACAATTTTGTTTGTACTTGCTTGGACTAAATTGCATCTGCTGCTTTGGATAGCTACTAACCCAGTTAGAGATATATTTTTGGAGTCTCGGAATCCCCCTTGACTTTATATGAACTGTTTTATGTGAACTGTTTTATATGAAAAGCAAATCTGGCCTCTTCGCAGCTTACTCTTGATTCCTAATTTGTTTCTACCCAAACTAAAAAGTAAGGATCCCAACTCTAATTCCAGATGAATTCCATATTTTTCCACCTTGAAAATTATCTACTTAATGCTATTCAGTGCTTTCTGTTCTCTAGTCAGTAACCAGTACATAAAAATTCCTGTTCCCCTCTTCTGAATTTGTTCAGAAGCCTTTATAAGGGGCTTTGTCGAAGTTGAACAATATACCTATTATATAATGCCATTCTTGTTGATTTCATCCTCCTCTTCAAAAAAAAATCTAGAAGGTTATTAGGGAGATTCAGTTCATTCTTTAAAGGCATTTCCTTTCCAAGTTGGGTAAGAAAAGACCACTGCAGATTTCCAGAGAAGAGCCAGAAGTATTATTGGACTCCAAAGTTGAAAGACATACGCAGCTGAGTAAACAGCAGTGTCCTGATATCCCCCCTTTTTTTACACAATACTTTTGTATTGTACAAAAATACAATACTTTTTTTCTGGCAATTGCAGCCTTCCTCTGTGTCTTTACTGAGCAATGAGGACTCACAATGGGAAGGTTTAAAATGATAACTGATAGGCAAGGTGTCACCTGATTCCTCAGAAGCCACAGAAGTAAACAGTAGTCAGATCAAGAGTTGAGCATTTATGATACATATAACAAAGAACTGGAAGAAAAAACACATGTCAAGTTGTTCCTTCAACCATTTCCTTTCAAAACCTGATTTCTGTTGATAAAAGAAGGTTAAAAAGAATGCCACATGCTTTGGCCTCACTGGCTGCAATTGCACAAGCTGCTTACCCATAGTTTATACAACCAAGCATTCACGCAGAACCATAAACTATATGAGCTGGATCTTCATAATGCACTAAATAAAAACGTAGTTGCATAATTTGCGATTAAGAGTATCGTGCAAACGTAGCATTCATTCATCTCTGTTGCTGACAGAATCATCAACCTTAACTAATTAAAAAATTTAATGAGGAACTGGTGCCAAAAAAGATCAGCTGTATGTTTACATACACAGTGTATTACCATAGCTTCTTCAACATAAGAATCTTCCTCTCCACACATGCCAAAGAATGCATTCAAAACATAATGAAGTACTATAAAATGGCAAATTAGAAAAACAGCATGGTTCCTACCGTAACTTTGCTTTCTGCAGGAGCGGAAAACTTCGCTTCCATAGGGGCAGCAAGAAAGAGAGACACACGTCAATGAAGTGTGATTGCCAAACCAGCCCAGGATTAGAATATCCCAAAATATTATGGAATGCAACATAATATGGTATGTAAACCTCAAAGAAACCTATAATGCTATATATGCGGGGAACATTATTAGACCAGCAATGCATATAAATATAATAATATAATATTACTGAGAGTATTTACACCAAGACAAATTCCTTGTGTGTCCAATCACACTTGGCCAATAAAGAATTCTATTCTATTCTATTCTATTCTATTCTATTCTATTCTATTCTATTCTATTCTATTCTAATAAGAGAAGGCTCAGATACAATGTGTAAAACCCCAGACATGTATTCATATAAGAGTACATGTCTGAAAAATAGACTCTAACAGTTATGCTAATTTCAGAGGAAGCAAAACAAAGCTGATGGTCCAAAAAACATGGGCTGAAAGAAGGGGAAGTTTGAAAGACATGTCCCTAAGAATTTAATGAGTGCTTTAGAGAGCCTATTCAAATATACCTATACAAATTGCATATTATTCCCTCCCTCGCACCATTTCCACCTCTCTCACAGACTACACCTTCCCTTCTCAAGAAAGTGCCATTCAAATAAAGTAAATAGCACTCTTGAAGAGGTGCTGGCCTCCACATTACTTGACTAATGGAATATTTTATGTGCTGACTCAGAAATAAGTTTCACTGATTCGGTGAGACTCTATGTGAATGGGGATAGGATCACAG